TTTAGAACTGACAGAGTTATGAGATAACAAACATTAAAAAAAATACAAGCTAATTGAGAACACGCTTTTTTCTGAATTTAGTTGAAAAAGACCGTTTCAGTTATTCGAGTTAAAACCAAAAATATTAGCGAAAACATTAGAATCTTATTTATGTATAAATTTATTTATGTAGATAATATCATTACTATTATATATTTATATATATAATAATAATATAATTGTTGTTACCTTTCAAAATATTTAATATTAATTTTTTTTTAAATCTATGCACCGCCATTTACTCTCTCTGTTTAGCGTAACGGTTGACTGGTGGAGAATGTCATCAGGCATTAAGTCCACCATGTAGACATATTTTAATGTGTACAAAAGTATAAATAAATAAAATAAAATGATATTAATTTAAAAAATAATATAAATTGATATGCACAAACATAATTTATTATTGTTCTATAAATAGAGTGAAGCGGAAACAATATCACTGGGACAAACCAACTGTGACCGAATCGCAAACCGGCGTTATGCACTCACCTTCCTCTTGCGCGGAATGTTTTCAACTATTCTTACTTACTAAAATAGAAAAATTACTAATAAAAAATTGTAAAAAAGACTAAAAATTATAAACGCAAACTAAGTAGGCACGTGGATTTTACACTTGCACAATGAGAAAACAAAATAAATAACGTTATTTTGTCGGTGTGTAGATCTCATTGCGTTGCTGTGAAGTCACGGACTGAATGTACGCTCGGGGGCCTTCGCCGTCGCGTGACATCACCGAGTTAAGGCGAATACTTGTTCGGTTACGGATAAAATGTTGTGCAATACAATCGACGTGCCTGAAATGGTTATTTTTAACCTGCTTCTAAAAGAGACGCAGTTTCGATTTAAACATAATTTGTTATCTTTTTGCGTTACGCGATATTCATGTTAATTTACTAATATGGACAGATAGGGAGAAAGGAATTGTTCGTAAAAGTCGACTATTAGGTTGACCTGCACGTGGTCTCCCTGGAATCCATCGTGCTAAATGCACCAATTCACCACGATGGGCTAACTGACCTGCTCCGTTAGGGGGGAGGGAATTATTAGTAACGCGGACTATCAATCACATTGCTAGCAATATACCCTGTCGGGTAGACTTCCAAGTGATTCCTGCTTAGAAACCATCGTGCTGAATTCCAGATGTATTCACCACGATGGACTAACTAACTTGCCATTTCATTTCACCTATCATCATTCACTGGTGCCCCGCCAGCGTATACCGATAGCGTAGGCGGAGTTATCACTCCATTGTCATCCATTAAAAAAAAATATGAACCTATAGAAAAGATTTTACAAAAACTAACTTCGAGAATGCTCTATTAGTATTTAAAATGTTTCTTTGGTTATTTTTGAAAACCATTTATGGTTTGTTTCATAAAAATTTTACTATAATAGTGAAAAGAAAATATTAACAGATATGTAATACGACTAATACGAGAGTACACACAAATTAATATTGAAAATCAATGAAGTCATTAAAACAATTCAGAAATAGTGAAAATATCGCGTGTGTAACATATACACAAAATACCTTTTTGGAGACGCTAAATAATTTTAATTACATTAGAAAGAGAGATTGCGTGTTTCGTTTCGTTTCAATCCGATGTCCATTATTCATGTAGAATATCTATTAAACTTTTACAGTACATTTTTATTGCAATAAGAGAGATTCTATTGATTATTTTTTATGAATAAGATTTTACTAGCTAGTTTCATATACATTACGTCAAAGTCGATTAGAAATTTATTTCATTAAAGAAAAATCAAATATATTTTCTAATTTGATTACACCATATCATGTCGCCTTAACTAAACAGACCCTGAAAAAGTGCATTGACTCGCTAAAGGATATAAACTGAAAATAGATATATAAACAATGCATTTTAGTATGTAATAGAACCTGCTAATTGGTGTTTGCTGCGTGGTCTCGGCATAGAATGGACCGCCCCTTCCTTTACCGTGGGCGTTATAAGAGGAGATTAAGCCTAACATATTTTTTTGGAATTTTTGTTTATCTGCCTATATGTATGTTTATACCAGTATCACGCTAAAACTACTACATCAAAATGGATGCAGTTATCAAAATAGTGTTTCAAAAGATTTGACTTAAAATCTGGTGCATATTTTATCCTTATACGCCATCTATAAGTGGGCTATTTCATTAGTTTTCCTACATCTCAGGCCACTAAAAGACATAAAAACTAAAGTACATCTTTACGCAGAGCCGCGGCACTACACTATGTGACAATATTTACTCTTATCAGAATTCGAGGGAAGTCCCCGTTCATTAACGAAATGTTTCCATCATAGACTATATAATTTACGTTCATTTTAACAAATTGGAGCATGAAATATAGATACGATATGGCTTAGAGCGGTACGATTTGGCACCACAGTTTGGCACATAACTGAGATTAAAAACGCATGAACGTTCCTCTCAAATAATAGTAGCAAAAATAAATAACGCAAAGCGCCATCTAGTTTATTATTAATTATTTCTGTCTACACAACGATAGACTTGAGCTGTATGTACTCAGCCCTCTGCCTTTTCGTTTGGGATGAATGGAACGAAAAAAAATTAAGAGTAGAAATTTTAAAATTAATTAAATGCTGCATTGTGGCAACATCTGAATTGTTATGTCAAGTTTTAAAAACAATTCGACGTTTTATTTATTACAAAATGGCTATTAAATACTGATAGCAAATTAAAATGTTAGAAAGGAAAATAGGATTTATGACCGTATTTGTTTTTGCAGGATACATACATATTGCTACTAAAATATTATATAATTAATATATACAAAAAATATTATATCATAATCATCATATCAGACGTTAACTGTCCACTGCTGAAGAAAAGCCTTCCCCATAAGGGGGGTTTTGCCAGTAGTTGCCACGTTTGTCAGGCGGATTGGCAATTGCAGTTAGGCTTTCAGAGATGTTTTAAAAGAGACGCTGCTGCCCATCCCTTTACCGTTAAGTTCCCTTAGTCGCCCCTTACAACACTCACGGGATAGAAAGGGATGGCCTATTCTATGCTGAAACCATACGAACGACCATCTAGATCCAAACTAAGCCAATCTTGAACCACAAAATTGGAACACAGGTACAAGAACTAGAGAACTGATCGGAATCCTTAAATTTGTTTTTTTTTTTTTATAAAATATGCGAATCGAAATTGGAACCATCCAAGATGACGTAGTGTATTCGTTTCATCATCAAGGTCATCAATTAATAACGAACACTAATATGGCTAATTTAATAGGTTTTTACCCCAATTATTATTCATTAGTCGATATTTTGACCTATAGTGCGAGTCAAGGTCACCAGTTCACAGACATAACTGATGAGTGAGGTTTATGTATTTTATATATTCCTAAATGATTCAGTATCAAGGGAGTTTGGATCCGTGAATACTTAAGTTACGAACTAAAAACAAGGGGGGGGGGGAAGGGATTGTTAGTAATGGAGTTTGACAGCCCCATTGCTAGCAATATGCCTTATTAGGTCGACCTCCACGTGGTTCCCCCTGGAAACCATCGTGAACAATTCTTGTTGAATTCGTCACGATGAGCTAACTGACCTACTTCATCTTCACCTATCATCCTTCACTGGTGCCCCGTCGGTGTATACCGATAGCGCGGGTGGGGGGTTACCATTCCATTATCATCCATTAAAAAAAAACTAAGAACAAGGAATTACATAGAAGGAATTATAAAATAAAAAATGTGAATCATATGGTTGCGTCCTTTCTTCTTATGCAAATATAATTAGTAAAAAGAGGACGAAAGATACACCATCAGTTGCTATTTTTCTCAATTCATGCTTGTGTATAGCTCTCAGGCTAGTGTATAGAAAATGTTTGATATGTCAATTATTTGTCAATGACAAAATTAAACTGACATTTTATCACTCCTATATATTTCCTTATTCCTAGGTTGTTAAATAAACTTCCTGCCAAGTTTTCAAATTCAGATCATCTTTATTTAGATATGCTTTTAAATCGACATTTTTTTTTCAGTCTACTGCAGGATTTGGAATGTTATTATCTGCTAAGAAGAGCACGAAAGTAACTCAACAGTTGCTCTTTTAAATCTCTGTCTATCTAAAACCTACAAAATTTTAAAGAAGGGTGTAATAGGCAACGTGCTTGTGACACCCCTGATGATTCGGGCATTAGAATGCTATGTCTATGCTTTTGTGTCCAGTAATTTCATTGCCACAATTATTACCTTTATTATTTGAAAAATCTACCGAAGAGACAATATGTATGAAATAATTATTTTATAATTTTTGAGAACGAGTTAGTTTTCGTGAGTATCAAACGAAATTATAGTTATAAATTCACGAAAGTAAACCACCGTCGCGCCGTCTGATTATGAAATAATTTAAATTTACAATGGTATAATTAATATGTAATTTATTCCTTTGCTACTTGCTGTATGTATGCTTTTGCTTTATTTGGACTGTATTTTTGTATTCTCTGTGGGATTTTTTGATGGATGGATATGTTTTTAACTATTAAATCAACGACCTATTAGGTTCATTGAAAACTAATAATGTTTAATGAAATGTACATGTTTGACAATAATAAAAAATTAAGAAGACCAAATGGAACTTTTGCAGAGTTCTAACATTTCATTTAGGTAAAATAATTATAAAAATAATATGTCGTACGTATTACGATTAATTCATTGTCTGTAGAATTCTAATCAATATCTCATATCGCTAAGTTTTACTGGATTCAACTTAACTGGATAATAATTAGATAACTTAATGTAAGTATCTATAATCGAAATTATTATATATAACCTAGATAATAACACAGAAACATATAGAATGATTATTTTTATTTAAATCTTAAAATCTGAATCAATTAAATAAATTATGACAGTTATAATTAATGATTAATCATTCTATATGAAATTATAAGCTAAAATAAGTAAAATAATCAAACTTACCTCTAAGTCGTTCTTGGCGTGGTTCAGTTTCCCGAGATGTATTCTCAAGCTATCCACAGAAGTGATAGGTTCTTCTTGAATGTCGTTTTTATCCAGGATTGCCTTTATCTTCTCCACCAACTGACAAAAATCTTTCCAGATTTCCAGATCTTGTTCCAGTTGTGCTTGACGAGATTTTGCCGAGTTCAAAGTATTTTTCAGGAGTTGATTGTGTTTTTGGTGATCCTTAGATAGTTCTTCCTGTTCTGAAGCAGCTAGAGATGGCCAAATCTTATCTACAATATCTTGCATACGTTTTCCTACCAAGTCTTTCATTTCTGGCTCAGATGTGTTAAAGAATGACTTATGCTCTTCTAGATCAGCTTCGATATTTTCAAAGTCAGTACCATTTTTGCCCATGTCAAGCCGAATACCAGCTTCATTGACCCAAATATTAAGCTTTTCTACTAATTGAATATACTGCTGTCTATTTTTCTTGTTTTCTTGCAAATATTTTTCTCGGTTAGCCAATTCGGCTGGTAAAGATGTCTTTAATGAGTTGGCTTCAGACACCATTTCTAATAATGATCCTGGAACGCCATCATCATTCTTAATTACGTCTGTAATTTTGGTTAATTTATCCAAGTAAGACTGAATGTTTTTAGCTAATGTAGCATGTTCAACCAATTTTTTATCAACACTGGCAACATCTCTATTTAGAAGGGGTCGTGAATGTACTGCAGCCTCATTGTCATGAAGCCATTGCAATATATCAGATAAATCTGCAGCAAGTTTCTTATGTTCTGCTGCAGCTCTTTCATGTTCTTGCCGTTTAGACTCTACTGTTCTTCTTAGAGTTAAAAGCTGTTGTTTTAGAGATTGGAGCAATTCTGTGATATTATTTCTATCAATAACCGTGCCTTCTGCAGCTATTTGTTGACCTTTATCAGTGGCAGTCGCGAGCAATGCTTCACAGCCCTGAATTTTACCAATTATATCGTCATAACGTTTAATTTTATCTTCAAGTGAGTCGTTAGATCTCTCGATTTCATTTGTTAGGTCTGTATATTTAGAAATGAACTCTTCAATTTCTTTAACAAGTGCGAAAAATTGCTCTCGTAACAATAGTAATTGTTTCAACTTAGATATTTGGTCTTCAATAGTACTCATTAAATCATCTTGTTGTGTAAGAATATCTTGTAAGTCATGTAAGTTACCGCCTTGTAATTCATTAAGCATTGCTTTATTCTGTTTTAGATCTGCAAGAATGGATTCATATGCTTGTATAATAGGTTGGACGTCCTCGACCTTGCTGCCAATAGGTTTATTTAAAGCTTTTATTTTATTCTGAATCTCATGTAAGAATTCAAGTGCAGCAGCGATTTTAGCTGCAGCGTCCTTGTATTCTTTGATATGTTTTAATAGAATATTTTTCTTGTCATTAATTATAGCATTAATCCTTGCAAATCTATCAGAAAGGATATTAACTTGTTCTTTAAGTTGCAATTTATTTGAATCTGACAGAGTGTCCATGATATCTTTAGATTTGTCTCTAATTTTATTTATATTCTTTTCTACATCCTCGGCTTCTTTGCTTAATTTTTCGAATTTAGCTAATTGTTCTTCTAGAAGTTGAAGACTAGTGGTACGTAATTCAGGAGTGGCTGCTACCTCCGCTTCGTTCAACCAGCTTTGGCATTTAGAGACCTCCGTTTCGAAATCAGTCCTTCCTTGTAATAGTTTGTTCAACGCCGCAAGTTTATCATCTATATCTACTTTAGCTGATGTGTATTGCTTATTCAAATCTTCTAACATATTTTGTAGCTTAGCTCGATCTTCACTAGAGCAGTCTTTAGATACAGCATTTCCTTGACGCATGACTTCATTTAATAAGTTATCATGGAAATCAGACAATTCACCCTGGTGCTTCTTATGGACCACAATTTCTTTTTCAACCTTAGCTACTTCTAATGGTACTGGACCACCTAATTTCTTAATTTCTGTCAATTTGGCCTTTAACCAATTCTTGGCTTTTTCAATATCATTTTCGAGTTTTTTCCTATCTTCAGTACAACTACCAAGTCTCTCGATCTCTTGTTTAATTAGAGAAGCTAGTTGTTTTTGTTTGGAAGCCAGCTCAGACAATTCAGATTCTAATTGCATTTGTTCAGAAGGTTCAAGTTCTGATTGAATGTTACTAACTTTCTTTTCCAAGGAATCAATGACTGTTTTCTTACCATCGGTCTCTTTTAATAAGTTAGCTACCTTCTTTTGTCGTTCTTTTACTGACTTGCTTTCATAACCAAGTGGTTCAGGATGGACGATGTTGTCGATTTCTTTCTGCATCCATTCATTCTGGGCATTTACTTCACTCTTAGTACCATCAATAGCTTTGTAGGTAATTTCAAGCATTTGCAATTTACGTTGAATACGCTTAGCTATATCATTGTATCTTCTTTCGACGGATTTCATCTATAAGAAGAAAACATTATTAATAATGTACAAATTAAATTAATCAGTGGTAAATATCAGTGTCTAATAGTATAGTCAATAATATTTTCTACATTATGGTTGTTGTAACATGCATACAAATAAAATGCAAACCTAAGCATATGATATGGACGTAATAAGAGACGATGATGGATAAATCATACTACGTACATTCTGTATGATTACATTAATACTAGAATTCATATGTAATCGCAAATTAAGTACTTTGCAATATTTTTCATAACATATTTGCATTATTAATTGGATATTAGAAAATAATATCAACCAGGAACTATGAAAATATGGTGACAGACAATTTTCGGGTGTTAAATAAAGCTCACGGCGTCCGTTTTGCAAATTGGCGTAGTAAAGTTAGAGTATGTTTTTTTTTTTTAAATATAATATATTCCTTTTCTTTTACTTACTTGCTCTTCAACTTGTTGCGATTCCAAATTACTGACGATATTAATAACTTGTGAACCAACGGATTTGATATTGTCTACTTTATCTTTTCCAGCTTGTCCAAATTCAGATGATAATTCTTTTAGTGCACTCAATTTCTGAGGACATGGAAGACCAGATCCCTTGTCTGCTAAGCACATCTTCTTCAGCACTGAATCAAACCAATCATGAATCTCTTGGCATTTATGACGGAAGTCGTCAATGATGGCTTGATTACCTTTTTCACGTTCAATAGCTTTTAGGATAGTCTGCTCTAAGTTACCTAAATCTTCTTCTAGATTGATCTCATCTTCTAGACCTGTAAAAGTATTTTTTAATCGTTAGGATCAAACCTTATAGACACAAATATTCTTAATAAATATTAAAAAGAATTTAAGATTACTCATTATATTAATAACTAAATTACATAGAAATATAAATTATATTTTTGTAATATTATGATATATATTTTCTATATAACTTACCTTCAGTAGGGATTTCAGTAAGTAGTCTATTTCTCTTTTCCCCGAGCGATACTAGAGCATCATTCATTGCAGAAATATCTTGTTTGGCAGCTTCTGGCCTTAACTTAGATGGATTAGCGAGCCAGTCACGTGCTAATGCGTTGTGTACAGTGATCCAATCCTGTATTTCTACAACTTGCTTCATCGCTTCTTCCATGCCATGGACAGCATCTCCTAACGTCTCCAAGTGACTTTGTACCTGGTTACATAACAGAATGATTAGTGGTAAGATTTGACAAAATTAACGCTTAGGGAACTACTGATATAAAGCTCAGATTTGCTTGATTTAAAAGTAGAATAATATCCATTAGTAAGTATATATGTATCATTATCAATTAATAAATTTATTGTAATGTGGAAAATATAATCAATCTAGTTTAGATTTTAAAAGTACAAATCCATAGTGTATCGCAGTGACATCTATAATAATTGAACAGTTGAAAATATTCATTAAAATTACAAAGCTTGCGTGCATCCTTACCTTTTGTTCGAAAGCCATCAGCTTTTCGTTGTACTCTGGTGTTTCCAGATTGTTAAGCAAGGATTGGATGCGTGGAGTGTTGCCTACGTCACTCACATGTGTCTATAACAAACCATGCATAATAGCACACAACAATACAAAGTGCGTATTAGTAGAAACACTTATTACTAGTGTTGAAGGAATTGTTTTAATTTTGCAGACATTTTGCTTGTTTATGCTTTTAACATCATAATTTAGTTACTTATTTGGAATTTTATTATCTTTGTCTATATCTGATTTCTTTTTAAATTTCTAAAATGTAATGAAACCGTAATAATTTTGACAGTTGCTATTCAAAATAAGTAACTAAAATTGATCAGAATTGGTTATTATTTTAATATACAATTCTTAATGCCTAATATATAAATAAATAGTGCATAGCAGTAAGAAAGTAGATGATAATGATAAGTACAGTGTTATTTTAACGTATATTTATTTTGTTACCACTCAAGTATCTTAAGTACACGTTATATTTTATTGTAATAACTACCGGTTTAACTAACGTGTAATTTGGTCGGGAAAGCTGGACTAGTTTTGGGAGCATCCGGGAGCTTTAGTCTTAAGCGGCTGTGATACAAGCGAGTTTTTTCGACCAAATTATACATAAGGTAAAGCAGTAGTTACATATTAAAATGTAATGTGAATAATTGTTATAGAAATTAAAATACAAACTGCTAAAAAAAAAATGCATATTCCATACAGATATTTACACCTATTTTTAAAATGAATTAATTCTTATGTATTAAAATTATGATCTATAATGAATCATACTAGACCGATCTTTGAAATAATTTTCAAATGGTCAATATCATCACCATTGCCATATCAGTATCAGTCGTTAATTGTCAGTGGACAGATAAAGGCAAATTCAGCAGTGGCTGAACATAAGGCCTCCCCATATGGGTTTGCCAATAGCTACCAAGATAGGCAGGCAGGTTGGCAACCGCAATTAATCTTTGATGATGTTTTAAGAGAGACGCTGCTATCCATCCCTTGATGGTCACTACGACTTCAATTAAATATATAGAATCTGTAGTAATGATCGACTTATTTAATTTACTGTTTAAAAAAATACAGTCGAATTTCTAGAAACGACTACTACAATGTAATACGGCATTTACAGTGAGTATTAGCACTGTTATATGTAAAAGTGAATCATTTCATCAGTGCCTACATTCTAACTTCAATAGTGGCTTTATTACATTCTGAGTCAAGACGATTATTAATAATAATTACATAAAACTCTTTCAATTCTATACTATCTCATAATAAGTTCATATTAAAAATTACGGTAGAAACTTTAGCAGTAACCATCTTGATTCAGTTTAAGAACCAGGTGCACAAAAATACAAGTCCAACGTTAAAGCTCATACATTGTTCGTCTAACTACTCACTATCTACCACGACAATAAAATATTATTTTACAATAAAAGAATCTTACTTTAACATTACATTATAAACTCGTTGGTTTTGTTCTTTTTGCAGACCTGGCAAGCTTAAAACACTTATAGGTAATATAATGTTACATATCTATAATTTTGTTTAGATAAATCAATGTCTCTTGATGTTTTCGTATGTTTATTTAATTCCAAAACCACAGGATCAAAAAGGCAATGTACGTTGTAGAGAGAATAATATTAAAATCCTGAATTAGTACGAAAACAAAGTACAACCCTAATTACATCTACAAAGTTTTGGAGTAACATCCATATGCCCTTTACTACTTGTATGTAGGTAAATGATTAATCTTGATATCTTAGCTATTATTCGATGTTTACTGCATAAAAATCCAAAAACAATGTACTTCTTATGTACTTCATGGGAACTGATAAGCGTAACTGTCTTGGGTGTAACAATGATGAATGGAGTATTAAAAATAGTTTGCATTTCAATGGAATGTTGTTTCTTAACAAGTTCTCTTTGTATTACAACATGATGATAAAATATTTTGATAAAGGAAATAAAATGACCATTTAGTATCAATTATTCAAACATGAGCAAAATTGCAACACATCGACAAAGCATTAGAAAGAAGTCAAAACGTTAGATGCGAGAATTGTACCTGAGGCGGACAGTACCTGGTCTATGAGATCCTCAAGGCGGGCTCGGACGTGGAGCTCTCTGGGTGGTATCGGCAGTGGGGCAGTGTCTGCTGGTGACGATGGTCGCGATACTGATGCAGCAGCTGCTGAACATGCTGCCACAGCAGCTGAGAGACGACTCTTCTCGGTTTGCAGACGATTATGCAAAGCCTGGTTTGTAAGTAATTAATGTTAAAAACGAAATTTAGATATTTTTGTAATTACTGTATTTTATTTTAGGGTTTACAGTATTTTATGTGCCTGATTTGAAATATAATTGTTTTTAGTATATGCAAAATTTTTTATGCAATTTAGAATGGCAAACAAGCTGACGGCCCACCTGATGGAAAGTGGTAACCGTCGCCTATAGACATGAGCAGTACCATGGACATAACAGAGATGATTCATTTCACCCATGATTTCTCCCATGCATTGCCAATTCCTGAGCACTCAGATATTATTCCTCTGTACCCTGTAAATTCACTGCCATATCACACCTTTTAAACCTAAACACAGCCATGCAAATACAATTAACCGTAGAAATACGAATGGGATAAAGGTTCCCAAGTAAATGACTTTTGTGCAAAGTCTCCCTCTGATATAAAAATGCTATTTATACTGTTCATTGAAATAATAAGTTCAAATATGCCCGCCACCAAAAATTTTGCATCTATTTAGGTGTATTTAAAGATGGAAAACCAAATTAATTTAAGTAATGGTGGTAGTATTTCGAGAGAATGAACACTGTCTTTGCTCAACAAATTACTCATTTCTCGACGAAATAAGGATGTATCTTGACAATATTGACGTAATAGTGGTATTACGTTCCCTACAGAGTTAATGACACCAATGTTTTTGATTACTCCATAAGTGGTAACAATCGTGAACATCTCTCTATTTTTTTTATATTGTCACATTATGCTACGGCATAGAAGTACTAAAATGATAAAAAACAGAAATCTTATAGAAATTACACTTATTGGAAATAAGTCAATATTATTTGGTAGAGAAAAATATGAAATAAATAAATAATTTATTTATTTACTTCTTATTGTACAACTTAAAGAGTATATTATACATATGAGGCATAAAAATCGCGGTCTTATCGCTAAACCTATCTCTTCTAGACAACCTTTGGGGGGAAAAGGCAGTAGCTATTTGGCACAATAGATATATTTAATACTACTCGAACTAATTATTAATTAATGATAAAAATATTAATGAAACATACCCTAGCTTTGTCCAGTAATTCACGACCGTGAGCAAGACCATCGACCGGTACATCGAGTTCCGTAATAGCTGGCTCACATTCATCCAAATTATTCAGAATACTCTCCAAAGTGTCTTCGTATTCTTTGAATTTAGCTAGACCCTCTCGTAGACGACGCTCGATTTGTAATGCTGTCGCTAACAATGATTTATGACTATCATTAACGTTTTTCAATTGTTTTCCAACTGTGTCTTTAATAGATGGGGTGGTAGCCTCATATCTATCAATTTGAGCACGCCCCTTCGCTTCTAAATCATCAAGAGTTGATCGATACTTTTGTATATCATCCAAGAGAATAGCGTGTTGAGCTAACTGTTCTTCAGTTTGTTCCCTATTTGAGATGTATAACGAATTATGAGCCATCAGCTGGAATGATATTTGCAACAACCATTTTTCAGTGTCCTGTAGAGATTGATGGTATTGATTATAATCTTTGATATCGGATTCCAGTTCGGCTTTCTTTGCTGCACATTTAGCTCGTAATGCGTTACATTTCCGTTCTATTTCTGTCACAGACTCTTTAACAGCTGGTTTCTTTGCCCATCCACTGAGCTCGGCAGCTTCGCTCTTTAACCTCTCTAGCTCTGGTTTCTTCTTGTCAATCTCCTCTTCAATGTGCTTGTATTTCTCTAGCAAAGTCTTCATTTCTCCAAGTTCACCACTAGTAGGAGGAACTTTGTCTAAGTTTTGTTCTGTATCTTTAATCCATTGGTTCAATTTGTTCTTTGATTCCTCAAAGTCGTCCCATTTACCAATAGCAGCTTTGAGTTGAGCGGTGATAGAATTGAGATCTATCTTTAATTGGTCCCAACTTTCTTGCAAAATTTTAACATCGTTACGTAAGCCATCTTGTTCTTCAGGTGGAGTATTATTTAATGCCTTTTTGAAGGCTTCTTGTAAAACAATCAATAAATGATGCCCTTCCGTCATGCGGTTACTAACTAACTTAATAGTCTCAAGCTTGTCTTTTGTAGTATCAATATCACCAACTCCAATAGAATCTTGTACAGTACCATGTGCTGTTTCAAGCCACTGTTGAAGTTGTTCCTTGGCTTTGATGAATTCAGTGTGATCAGATAAGTTCTTCTCGCCATTAGAAACTAAACCTTGTATTTTAGTTAATAGAGTCGTATATTCAGTTTGCAAATTTACAGTCTTATCACGAACCCAAGCGCAAGCACTCAGCTCCATTAGGTTCTCGCATCTATCATTTAGCTCCTCCAGTACTTGTTTATGGCCCAAAGCTTCTGTTAGTAATTCCTGTAAAATTAAATAGAGAATGAAAGCATGCAGAATGAATTTTGAGAAGAGAAATAAAATTTTTATAGTATTATACTACATATTAAAAAAATATTGTATTAATTTCGGAATTAGACTATTCTCTGTATACTTTACAAATAAAACTAGTAATTACTGTTTTAATACCGTACGTATATAATTTAAAAGTTTTAATGTAAACGAAGGATACCTTGATGATTACATAAATAAATAATATAATAATAATCGGTTTAAATACTTATTATAATTTTGTATGTTAGCACACTAGGTTTATAATATTAATTTGGCTTTTGCTGTCATAATGCTGTAATTATTTTAAATGAATAAATAAATTAATAATAAATAATCAACTTACTCGACATTTATCAAGATGTTCAGGAGTAATTTTATCAACTTTTTGTACAATCTTGAGTTTATTGTCAAACTCCTTCACCCATTTGCTCATCTTTTCAGAAGTTTCCAAGAAATCGGACCAAGCAGATATGCATTTCTCCAACAATTTCTTCGTGTCTTTACAAATCTGCTGTAGGTTCTCCCATTCAATCTGAAGTTGTTTAATTTCTTGATTAATATTGTCCTTGCCCTCATTTCCAGTAGTTTTTAAGACTGCTTCACTAAGTTTGATAGTTTTACTCAAAAGAGCTTCTCCCTTAGGCAAAGATTGTATGATTTTGTTAACATTCTTCAATTTCTTTTGGACTTCTTCCTTCTCGCCGTGTGAGTCTGAGCACTGTTGGATCTCTATCTTGCAATTACGTATCCAATCATAGAAGTTGTCATATGCTTCTTTATATTGAATGTGCGAGTTTACATAGTCTTCCAGTTTCTAGAATATTTAAATAAAATTAAACTTAATTTTAGCTGAATTATATAAATACAAATACTTTACTACCAAAATGAAATATGTTATGTTAAAAATTATAAATATTTAATTAAATAAAAAACGTATTATATTTTTATATCTATAAATTAATTAAATACTTACGGAAATCATTTCATTGACAGTCTTTCTGATACCATCGTAACGTTTTAGTGTATCCTCAATTTCCTTGGACTTCAAAGAGGAGTCTTCCTGAAGTTTTTCATTCAATTTCTTTACGAGATCATTGTGAGAATCGATATCCCTGTTGAATGTTTTGAACTTCTCTAACTTCGCTTTCTTTTCAGATAGATCATTAAGTAGAGAGTCATCAGACTGTATTTTTTGATCAATATCATCTAGCCATTCCACCAGTAACTTATGTATCTGAAATGAATAAGAATGTAAATATAATTAAGCAATACGTATTAGTAATAGTAATAAAATATGTCAAATCCTTTTGATAATTTTAGTACATAGTTCTTAACGACAGATGTAAATACTCACCTTAGAAATATCATCAAATTGAGCGGCTCTGCTAGTCAACTTATTACGAACTTCTTGTAAATCAGCTATAAGTTTATCGAATTCCTGTTTCAAATTATCTGTATCCTCCTGAATCTTGGCCGCTCCAGCTTGTTCTGTGTTCATAATGACCTTCTCTTTGAGTTCTAAGAGATACCTTAATTTGTTTTGACCTTGTTCTAAAGATTGACGTAGAAGTTTGACTGTATTAAGTTTGCTGTTAACCTCTGGTAAACTGTTAGGTATATCAGCGCACTGGTTAAGTTTTTCACGTGTTCTGTCTAACCAGTCTTGACATTCTCCGTAAAGGGCATTGTGTTGTTGGTGTTCCTAAAAATATGTTTAATAAATATTTTACACTGACTCCGTTATGGTAATTCTTAAAATATTTGTTTTGCTGCAGTGTAAATACCTTTAATAACACAAAGTTATCGAGATTGATGAAATTTAGATTAATTTATGCCATAATATTGATTATTACATACCTGGTAGTGTAGTTCAAGTCTCTTCATGACCTCTTTCGCAAGAGATAACAATGCATTATATTTTGTTGTCAATTGAGTAATACCGTTAGATATTCTAGTATCTGCACATGTTTCTAAAAGAATTTGTGCGCGCATATTTAGTTTATCCAGTTCACCTTGCCAATCGAACAGCATTTGCAGATGTCCCTGTAAACAATACATAAATCATTAGTATTTTATAATATTCATCAATATCACAATATTATTAAGTGATATGGTTTTTACCTGGAACTCCTCTAACACTATTTTCTTTTGCTCTAAGTCATTTTGTAGTTTGTTAAACGACTGTACTAGCTTCTCAGTCTTTGACAACCAATCTAAGGCTTCCTTATATTGCTCTTCATATTCTGTCCACTTAACGATACCTCCCTCAATTAAAGCTTTGGTATTATTAAGCTGCTCACTGTAAAGTAATATAAGAATTTTAGGACATGTTAGATAATATTAAAAGTGAGGAACTTCCAAAATTATGGTATACTTACACATAGGTATCGTACTCTTCTTGCATAAGAGCCACTTCTTCCTCTATATCTTCCCTATCATCATCATCAGCAAGGCCACAGGATATTTCTCCTTGCTCCAGTGCTTTTTGCAGTTTGGCTTGCCCTTCAGGTAATTCACTTTCTAATACCTTAAGTTGAGAAATTTTACTGCTCAATGATTCTTTGTCTCCAGTTGCATCTGAACACTTGCCTAATCTTTCTTTAGCAGCTCTAATCCATTGGACAAAGTCTGTGCCAGCATCAATAAAGGCTTGGTGTTGTTCAACTGTTTCTTTCTGTTTTTCATATAAATCTTTAGCTTGTTTCGATAAAGTTTCATATTTACTGGTAATTTCAGATGCTGGAGCTTGTTGCATAAGCTCTGAAGCCTTAGAAGTTACAGACTGAATCATGGGTTCAAACGAAACGATATCTTGAACAATATTGTTTGTTTGACGGAGTGTGGCTTTCCTTTCTCCTAAACCAAGGCCTGTAGTAAGACCAGCGAGACGGTCTTGACCTTTTTTACACTTAGCAACTTTTTGCTCACACACCTCCTGTAATTTTGCTTCTCTATCTGATATCCATTGTTGTAGTTGTGAGTAACTTGAACTGTAATCAGCCCATTGGAGTAATGCAGTTTCGAGATGAACTTTTGCTGTTGTCATTTTTTTAACAAGTCGATCCCATTCATTTTGTAGATCTTTTAATTCAGTGTTAATTTTGTCTTTTCCATCTGATCTTGTATTTCTTAGTACTTTTTCTCCACTGTTAACAGTAGCATGAACAAGATTCTGGCCCTCTTCACGTCGCTTTAATAAATCTTCTATTTGTTCTAGTCTTTTTTGTAAAGAATCTTTACTGCTGTTACTACCTGCTTCACTTCCAGTACGAGTAATTTCCCATGCATCATCAATCCATTTTTTGGTTTTTGCATAATTATCATCATAATTTTGATGTTGCTCGTAATTTGTTTCAACTTTCTTTAGAACATCGTTCGCCATATTTACTAAAACTTGGTATCTTGAATTAAGATGCCTGAGTTGATTGTTGACATATGTATCTAGATGAGAAGAGAGAAGACCGGCAGCAGAAGCATTAAAGTTATCGATGTCATCTTTTCCTTTTTTTAGTTGGTCCACTATCTCCTTGACTTCATTTACTTGGGCTCCTTTCTCTTTTGCAGTGCCAAGTAATGCGAGTTTATGATTTTTAATAAGGATTTCTTTTTGCTGTAGCCAATCTGAAAGTCTTTCATACTCATCTTTATATTCACGCCACTGACTAACAGTATCTTCTAATTGATTCTTTTGGTTTTTAATTTCATTAAAAAGATCATCAAAGCTTTCTTTGAGTGCCTTCATTTCATTTTTTATTATGGTTTGGCCATCAGGTGAAGTGCTAGCTAAAACAACCTCACCTGTATGTTGAAGGTGTTCAAGTAATAATTCGCCTTGCGCTTGTTTATTGATTAGAGCTTCAAGAGGAGCCACTGAATTTTCTATAGCCAATTTATCACTCAATGGTTTAGTTTTCAAAGATGGGACTTTTTCTCTTGCTCTACTAAGCCACTGTATTAACTCATCGTGTGCTTCTTTATATAACCTATGATCTTTATACTGTTCCTCGCGGTCGGCTAATAATTTTTTTACTTTATCGTACAATGTATCAAATTTATTTAAGGTTTCTTGGGCTTGCGATGCTACTTGATTTTGTTGACCACTAGCTAACATTTCAGTAGCTTTAGCCTTCAGTGTATCAAAATCTATTCGATCGCAGCGTGCTTTCTCTTCCACTTCTTTAAGTTTTTCAAGTTGTGCTCTTTTATCAAGAATAGATGTTTCAAATGGCGTTAATTCAGTTAACATATTTTCAAGCCAGTTGTTACTCTTTTCTATCAGTTGTATTTGTTCCAAAAATCCGGCCCATTTAGTCACCGAGTCATCTAACATACTCTTTGTTTCAATCATTCTTGATAATAATGCTGACCATTGTTCTTGTAATGTTATTAAGGAGTTATTTATAGCTTCATGACCAGCTGGAGCAGTGTTAGCTAAAACATTTTGTGCCAACTCCACAAGTGATTGTACTTTAGTAAATCCTTCATCTTTTGTTAATAATAAGTTTTGAATAAGTACTAGTTTAGTTTCTAAATCATCCTGAGAACAGGAACTCAAGTCAGCACAGAAATCTAATTTGTCTCTTAATTCTTCTATCCATTGAGAACATTCGGTGACGTTAGTTGCGAATTCTTGATGAGTTTTAACATACTGTTGCCATCTATTAGTCAAATCTTTAACTTTTTGTGAAATACTTTGATACTTAACAGACAAATCAGAGATTTGCGAACCACGAGGACCTAAAATACCAGTATACAGATTTTGTGCCTTTTCTGTAATATTATCAATTTCAAGTTCTTTAGCGCGAACCTCGCCTTGGAGTTCTTGAAATTTATTAAACTGTTCTTGCTTTTCTACCAAAGTTGCCTTCAAATCAACAGCATGAATTTGGGTATCTGTATTTCTAATCCATGCCATACATTGATCTTTCATATTTTCATATTCATTCCATTGTTGAATTTTATTTTCCAAAGTTTCGATTGTCTTATTAATAAATGATAACAATCCCTCCCATTCCTGATGAGAGGAATCTATTTGATTTCTGATGTTAGCTTGTCCATTGGTAATTGTTCCAGGTAATACTTTTTCACCTAACAAACGTATTTTGTCGATACGATTTTTTTCTTCAGGTAGACTAAGCTGCAGTGACTTTAATTTTTCACAATTGCTACTTAAGGCTACTCTTTCTAAATTAATATCACCCCAAAGTGCAACTGTGTTATGAGTAGCTTCTACCCATTCTTGTAAGTCCATCACTGCTTTTGTATACTGCTGATGATTATTAACAATAGCTTCATATTGTTCAACGAAAGACTTTGCTCTTGTTAGTATAGTTTCGTGTCTCTGCTTAAGTTGGTTAATTTCTTTTATAATATCTTTAGTTACATCAGGAAGGGACTGAGCACGTTCTTCCAAATTACTGATATCTTGTTGATGAGCAATTGCATCCTGAAGATATGTACGATATACATTGAGCTGGTTTCGTTTCTCATCCAATGTAGCTCTAAGTTCAATTTCCTTAGGCAAATTTTTCTCGGCTAAAGTTAACCAATTTTGAACGTTTTTGAGATTGTCTTCAAAGGAAGACCATTTATTTAATTCCGAGTCTAGGTCCCTTTCTGCCTTGGTAATACTATCATATAAGTTGTCAATGGCTTGTTGTATATCTTGCAACTGTTGATCAATTAATTCTTTACCTTCAGGAGATGTAGATGGGTATAACTTTTCCCCTAACTCAAAAGTATTATTAACCAACAGAGTAGCATTACGTCTTTGACTTAGTAAATCATTAAGACTTTCTCTCTTAGCACTAATACCTTCTGGAGTATTTGATAAGTTCTTCTTACACTCCTCAAATTTGTGCTGTGCTGTTTTTATCCAGTCTGTACACTGATTATATTTCTCTTGATAAGCGTTATGATCATTTACAGCTTGTTCACACTTCTTTACAAGCTCTTTAGCTGTTGATTGGACTGATTGGAAGCGTGAGGTCATTTGTTGCAAATTCATAGTTATTCTAGTATCATTACAATTTTCGATTAGGTCACTGAATTCATCTGTGACTTTGTCAACATCATTCTCTGTTTTCTTCAAATTTGCCAAGATAGCCTGAAATAGTATTTCATTAAAAGAATAAATTATTTTTTTATAGTAGTGTTTTAAACTAATCTACGACATCTACTACCATTAGTACCATCGTTTAGATAGATAGTTGTTATAATAGACCTTTCAAAATTAGCCCAATAAATTAGAACCAATTACCAATGCCTTTAATGAATTAAAAGGAACGTGATATTAATTAAATATTATATTAGAGTAAAAATATAAATACGTATGCAAATAAAAGCAGGCGATTGTATAAACCTTCGGTTAGAACTAAACAATCATTAGATTTATTCGTGAAATTAGATTATCTACTGAAAATTAGACTATATCCTATAGTGCTGAGGATATATAATTCATGGATTTGTATATTCTTACTTGATCCAAAGCTTCTCCCAATTTTTTGACAGCGGTTAAATCATTTTCATGATTATCAATTGCTTTACATAAACCCTGTTCGAAATTTTTTACAATGAAATTAATATCAATACCTAATGAAAAGATACATATAACAATAAAAAATAAAAAAACATTTATCCATACCTGGTATTTATTTAGTTGATCTACTTTTTCTTCTAATGTTGCTTTTGGAGTGTAAGTCTTTAAGCTCATTTCTGTATCGCTCAACCAATGCTGCAGGCGATCATTAGCACTTTCAAACTCAATCCATTGCTGTATTTTGTCTTCGATACCTCGTTTGACATCATGAACCGTTGCTGTAAATTTCTCTAAGTCGGCTTTCAGCAAAGCTAGTTCTCTAGACATACCTTCTTTACCTCTAGGTGATAATTTTGCAACATTGGTTTCAATTAAATCCGACAAGATCTTTAATTTGTTATTTCCGGTAGGAATGGCATCCAACAGTTCTTGAATTTTGGCTAACTTTCCTTGTAAAGCTGCTTTATTTCCTGTGAAATCTGATAAAAGGTGTAGACGATCCCATAAATGTTTTTGATAATCTTGCAAGGACTTCTGCTGATCAGCAAACTGCTGGTAAATATCAAAGTTACTTTCATGATTGTCAATAATAGCTGATAGTCTATTTGTTAATGCGTTGTATCTATCCCAAACTGACTGGATGATAGATGTCATTTCATCGCTTTCTCCTTTACCCGAATGTAAAGTAGCTGCTACACTTTTAGCTTTTTCAGTCACGGTTTCAATAACTCTTTTGTGAGAATAAATTTCTTGTAATAAAGTCTTATTCTTCAGTAATTTTGATTTAATTTCCTGAGCTGAATTACATACAGCTTTTTCTTCAGAATCCACTATCTTTTCTTTCTCATCTAACCATGATAATGTTTGCTGAAGTACATCCTGGTAACTTGACCACTGTAGTGTTTGAGACTCGTACTCTTTTTGTTGTTGGAGTATGGTGTCATTTAGTTTATCCCATCTTTCTCTTAGAGCTCTTATTTCTGTGCGAATATTTTCTCTGCCATTTGCCGCTGTTTCAGGCAGAACTTTATCACCTGCATTTGTCAAAGTAGTGATTTTATGTTCTCCATTATCTCTTTCCAGTAAGAAGACTTGAAGTTTATTACCTTTACTTTCTATACTAAGTTTATCTTCTTTAGTAACGATCTGATACAGTTGTTCTTCTAAAGGTTTTAACCACGCATCGAATTCGTTTCGCAGTTGGATGTATTTTTTATGATCTGAGACTAATTCAGACCAGTGATTGACGATTTCTTTGGAAATTAAATGCAGTTGTTGGTAACGACTACTTACTTGTGTAACAAGAGGTTTTAGACGCTCCACTCCACTAAGTTGTATGAGACTATGAGACTCATCAACAAATGCATCAATTTCCTTTTCTTTACTGTTGATTTCATTTCTTAAATCACCATAACGCTTAAGCTGTGCTTCCTTTTCTTGTAAAGTTGAACAAAGACTTTGATCACGACATTTAGATTCCATATCCTTGAGCCAATCCGTAATACGTTCAATCGTAACGTCAAACTTGTTCCAAATTTCCAAAGTGTGTTTTAATTTTTGTTCTGATACTACTATGCTACTAACTATGTTACGTAATTGCTCAAATAAGTTATCTATTTCAGTTTTTATAGCTGTATTTCCAGCTTCTGATGTATTCTTGCTAACAGATGAAAATGCATTACGTATTTCATCCAATTTATTTGAACCTATCTTCTCAATGTCTTTTAAAGCAACTGCTGACTGCAGCTTTCTAATAATTTCAGGCTTTTCTCCAGTAGCGTTTTCAATATCCAAGAGTTTTTCAGATTGAGATCCTAACCATTCTTTATATTGTTGAATAAGGCGTACTAAATCTTCATGTCTTTTAACGCAGTCCTCCAAATTATCCTGTAGATTTTGAGATTTAGTAACAATATTCTGGAATAATTGCTTTATAGATTGAAGATATATGTTCAAGGAAGCATCATGTGTTTGATCAACTAACTGTTGGGCCTTATCGCAGACTGATTCGACTAACTGTTGATGAGTCATTATTTCTTGATGCATTATTTTATGATTTTGTAACTGTGCTTTCTTCTCTTCTAAAGAGGCTTTAAGCTCAGTATGACGTTGCATTGCCCTTTCTACATCTTTTAACCATTTAGTTAATTGCTCCTGTGCGAGTGAAAAATCTGAAAATTGTAGTAAACATTGATCTAGTTTGTTAACGGTTTCCTGGAAACTATCTCCAAAACTATCCCACAATGTCCTTATTTTTCGAATTTTTTGTCGAATAATTTCTCTTCCATCAGGACTAGTATGTGTATATAATTTTTCTCCGAGACTTAAAAATTCTTCAAAAGCTGGAGTCTTCTTGTTTCTGGTTTCATATAATTCCTTAGCTTTATTTTGCTTTTCTTGTAAAACAGCATAGTCGCCAACAATTTCATTAAGATCTTGCAACTCACCAAGCATTCCGATTAGCCATTTTTCCATATCATTATGATCATTTTCAAATTGTTGATGTTCTAATACAAATACCTCATACTTCGAAATTATTTCATTAACAAGATTATTTAGAGAATGGTATCGTGTTGCGAGCTTAGAAGTCTTATTACTTAACTCAGATTCATTTGCTAGATTTTGTTTGCTAGTAGTTAAAGCTGCAAAGTCTTTGCTTCTTGAAGCAAGCTCAACTTGAATTTCTTTAACTTTTTGTAAATGAGCTATTTTAGCTTCAAGATTATTTTTTAAACTTTGATCTCTTAGTTGATTTTCTTTTATTTTTAACCATTCCTCAAGCTCATCTAAAGTTTTCTGACTTTCATTCCATTGTTTTAGAGTATCTTTGAGTTTCTTATCCTGTTCTTTGCATTGTGTAGCAAATTGGTCCCAAGTAGTCTTAAGTTGCTCGAATTCACTAATTAAAATTGGGTGGCCATTAGAACTTGTTGTCAGAAGAATCGTATCTAATTGTGATTTAAGACCATGGAGAACTTTATCAATGTCGTTAGCTTTTGATGTAACTTTTTCGATAGCTACTATTCTAGAATCAACGTCTTCTTTTTGTGTAACTACTCCATAGTTCAATAAACTATTTTCTGCTATAATGTGGTTTAGACGATCGCGACAGTCTTCAAACAATTGAACATATTTTTCGTGATCTGCTACGTGAGATTCATATGTGCTGATTCTTTTTTCGAGTTCTTTTGACATATTTTGGTATCTATCAATAGTTTTTGCTAAACTTTTTTCTGCTTCCTCATCAGGCATAAGTTTAATTTTATCCGTCAATTGAGAAAGCATTGATGTATGTAACTCAACTTCTTGATGTAAAATTTTATTTGCGTGGAGTTGAGCTTTTTTCTCTGGAAGTGTAGGACATAACACGAATTCTCCAAGTTCTTTTTCTTTATCATTAATCCATTTCTGTACCTGGTTAAAAGTGTCATCAAATGACGATCTTTTATTGATTGTGGTTTCAATATCTTTGATGACATTATTAAGTGAATCAACAGACTCTTCAAAGTAATTTCTAAGAGATCGCAACTCATTTCTAACTTCTTCTCGACTTTCGGGAGTAATTCCACTAAACAGAGCTTCACCAGATTCAATTGCATTATTGAGTAACTTTTGTCCAATGTCTTTGTTTTCGTTCAGTCTTTTAACTTGTTCCAAATCAGCTGCAGAAGGTTTGGAATGTTTACTCATCATTGCTAAGTCTTTAATTTTTGAATTTGCATCCTGAAGCCAATTTTTAAATTCCACAATGGATTTATCATATTTTCCTTTGTTATTTTTCATGTCGTTTAATCTTTTAAGGTGGTTATCCATGAATTTCCCAACAGTTTGATATCTTGTTACTAGATGATTGATGTATTGTAGCACCCGTGAGTCAGGATTACGGGACAATGTTTCTCCAATATCTGTAAGTTTATTAATTTCTGCTTGGTATTCTTTTACTATTCGGTTTACTTGATCAATTTCATTTATTTTATCATCGATTTCATTTATATTGAGCAAATTAGCAGCTTCTTGTCTAACTTTGTTTTCTTTATCCTTTAACCAGTCAGAAACGTTCTCCAACAAAGTCTCATATTCTTGCCAAGCATCGATATTTTCTTTAAGTCTGCTCTTAATTTCCTCGTAATTGGATGTTAAGACATCTAGATTTTTCTGAGCCTTTTCTGTTTGGATGGCAGCTTCCTGAGCGCAAGCTGGCTCTGCGACAATATTTAAAATATCTCTAGCTTCTTTTAATTCTTTTACTTTAGTAACACACTCCGCAATACCATTCTCAACGTCAACTAAGGCTGCATTTTTTACTTCTAAGTTATATTTGTCACTACTACCATCAGGCATACACCATCTTGTCTTATCATCTAAAATTTTTAAATTTCTATTCAACATTGCCAACTTATCAGTAAAAAGTTTCTGAAGAAACGTTAGAAGAGTTGTTTCTGTTTTATTTGCGTGTATAAGTACACTTTCAAATCGTTTTTGTAATGTACTTAATTCTTTTGGCACTAAAGATTCATAGAATCCAGGATAATTTGCATTCATTTCGGACACATTTTGAGTCACATTATCAATTTCATCGCTTAGATTTTGTAATTCCACTTTACAAGATTGGCATTTCTTTAAACGATCTAAAATTTTGGCATTGTCTCCTGTCATATCATCGCATTTAATTATATCATCACGGATTTTGCTCACGCGATCTGAAAGATGTTTTATATTATCTTTTAATTTATTTTCCTTTGATCCCAATGAAGAGACGGCGCCTTCCAAATTTTCTGCTAATGTTTGTAAAGCTTCAAATTCCTTATCCAAATAATCCGTAATTGAAGACACTTGTCCAGTTGGAATATTTTTATTTAAATTTACAATTTGTTCACATTTAGTTTTAATACTATTTTTCAGACCTAAATATATTGGTAATTCTTCCTTATATTTTGTAAGATGATTCTGACCAAATCTGATTTCTAGATTATCACAAGCGTTTGCTAAGTTTTGTCCAGTTTCACTCAACCAAGTTATAACTTGATTTTTGGTGTCATCAATTTGCCTCCAAACTATAAGTTGTGACTCTAAATCTTGTATTCTCTTGATTGTAGCATCGTTTACTTTTTCCCACTGAGTCTGTGAGGTTAAAAATGCCGTTTCTAGTGGTGAAGTATCAAAGCCACCTAAACTAGAGGCCTGTTTTAAAACTGATTGCTTAATAACATCCATTTGGTCTAGCAAAGCTTTGGAACGCTTAAGTATCTCATAAGATTTTTTCGCTTTATCTAAAGACTGAGCAGTTTGAACGTAGTCAGTAGGGGCATCTTTAGCTTCATTATATAACTGTTCTGCTCTGTTCATTTCCCGATCAAAAGCAACTGTAAAGTTCTTTAACTCTTGTAAAGTAGAAGATAAAAGAATATATTTATTTTTGGTATCACGTACAGAATTGACAACTTGATCCCAATTATTATCAGCAGATGACAAAGCATTTTGTATTGTACCCATATTAGGTTGATCTTCTCTCATTAAATGTAAGCCCTCTTCTCTAAGTTCCTTTCTAATGGATTGTTTGTCTTTTAGTTCCCCATCTAGTTTATCTAATTGTTCTGTAATATCCTGAATAGTAGCTTCAGTTAGTGGAACGGGCTTTTGAGCCATATCATTGAGAACTGACTGCACGTTATGTAATACTTGAGCCAAGGCATTATTTTGCATATTAAATTTGTCCCATCTAGCCCCGACTTTCTGTACTAGATCCCTTTTTGATGTGACTTGGTTCAATAAAGCATCTGCTTTCATTTCGATCTCTTTTACTAAACTCGTTGGGGACATAATCCTACCAGTATTTTGATCAGTAACTTTTACTTTTGATGGTCCATCTAATAAAGCCACATTACTTCTCCAATCTGGAACTTTGGTAATAATATTTACTAACTCTTGACGTAATATTTCGTAACTCTCAGGTGTGAGTTTTGGTCCATCAATCTGATATTGGATGTGTCCTAGTTGTTGCTTCGTATCATCGTACCAATTTAGCAGGTCCGACCACTTCTGTAAAATTCCTTTATTTTGTTGAATATTATTCTCAATTATTTGATAGTGCTGAGCAATATTTGAGTATGTTTCACTTAAAGCACGAGATTCGTCGGGATGTGATGACAGAGTCATATTTTTAATTTCGTTATAAATTTCAGTGAACTCAGGTTCCTTAGCGGCATGTTCTTGTGATAATACATGCATTGATTGTAACGTTGGCTCTACTTTGTCCGATGGAATTTGATCATAGCTCTCAGTCTTCCTTCTAAAATCAGTGATCCAGTTGTCAAAACTGTGTAGTTTAGTCATAAACTCTTGTCTTACAATGATCTTGTCAGACAACTCATTTACTCTGCCTCTTACTGTATCAGCTAAATTGTTTGTACGCTGCTTTATATCTGACACCTTATTTTTCAATATTGTGGCACCTTCAGGTTGTATATTGTGACAAATATTATCACATATCTGTGACAAACTGATAATTTTCGCTTGTTGTTGAGAAATTTCGTTTCCAAATGACTTCAGTTTATTTAATTCGCGGTCTAGTTTCTCAACTTGAGGAGTTTCTATTGATACGTTGCGGGCGTTGAGTAATTTTTCACCATTCTCAATCCAACTTTCTATTTTCTCCGCTTCACGTTCAAAGTTCTCCCAATTGCTAACAAGTTTATCAAGTTTATTGTTCCATTGGTCAGCAAGATCGTGAACTACTGCCCATCTAGAATGAATAGCATCGACCTCATCAGGTGCACTAGTTTTTCCAGATAACTGATGACTAACACTTGAGAGAATTTGCAAATTCATCAATTGTTTATCACTATCAGCAATTAATGCTCTAGATTGTTGTTGTAACTGCTGAGCTTCAGGTAGAGTACTAGGTTTTGGCATATTTCCTAACTTTATTTCAGCTTCTTCTATCCATGGCTTAATTTCTGATACCCCCTTTTGATATCTTTGCCAGCTAGCTAAGTCATGCTCTACAACTTTCGATTGGTGTTCTGTGGAACGTTGGAGATCAGCCATCATTTTTTCTAATAAAGCAACTTCACTTTTTAATCTATTAGCATCATGTACACGATACTCTACAGCTAATTTTGTTCCTTGATCAGCAACGCCTCTTATAACATTAAGCTTTTCACCAATAACTTTTTGTAACAATTGAGATTTTTCCACGCGTTCTTCTGGTGTAATATTTTCTGATTGTATTTGTGATATAAGTGCTGGGCTTTCTTTTTTAATCCATTCACGAACGTGTTCCAATTTATTTTCAATTTTCACCCATTCTTCGTTGAATTTCTCTAAATGCACAACCTTAGTTTGGACTTCATCTTGAACTCTTCCTAACTTGCGTTCAATGGTTTCCAAATCTTTCTCTATAACAGGTTTTGGTTTATTTGCAGTAAGAGATTGTAATTCAGCATAAGCAGTTTGTAACTGAGGTAATCTTTCAACTTTGGCTTTTTCAATATCACTACTAAGAGTTTTTGTTTCATGGAGTTCACGGCCAATATTACTTACACCAAGTTCTAATCCTGGATGAGCGATGTAACTCTCAATTTTGTCGAGGTCAGACATAAGCTCCTCTTTCTGATATTCATAATTAGACCATACTTTCTGCGTGTCACGTAATTTATGTAGACGATCGGTCGAAGTCTCATATGCCATGTTCCATCCAGTTTCGAGATTTCTGACATCTTCTCTAACAAACGCAGGTGCATTGGCATCTTTTATTAAGTCCTTGCCACGCTGCAACATGGACATAACAGAAGGTCGTTGGCGGTCAAGCTTCTGTACTGCCGCTTGTTGTTCCAGAACCAGCTGTTCAACGTGTTGCAAGGATTGTGGCTCTGGCTCAACCATTGCCTGTTCCTTAGCAGATTCCAATATACAAATGACTTCGTGGACCTCGCGGCGGTATGTGTAACAACGTGTGTAAGTTTCCGTCTTAATCATTGTAATTTCAATAGTTGGAATCAAGTTCTTATATCTTGCGATAAGATTTTCAAGTTTCGTCTGTTCGTCGTGGGCTTCCATCTCTGAGCAATGATTTGTGAGCATGTCCAAAGTTTGAACAAGCCATTTCATATCTTCTCGTTTTTTGTCAGCTTCACGGCAGATGTTCTAGAAAATTAAATAGAGGACAATAGTAAAATAATGTTTAGCTAGGTACATTTCACAAATTGCCTTAATAATATAAAATTAAATAGTTACCATCAGTTCTCTTAACTTTATCCGTGGAAAGCATTAAAAGTAACAAAATTAACAGGTCACATTAACTAAAATTATAGTTTTACTTCGTAACACATTGATAACAATATGCAATTAATATATCTAACGACAATTTACAAAATAATAATAATTAATGCCACACCATCCCACCAATCCCCCGATCCTTTTTACTCACTACTTCGTACGTGTAGATTTCAGATGTAGAGAAACCCGTAGATCACTTTGGCGTATCATGGTCAAACATACGCCAGTTTTTTGGTTAGATCTTTAGAAACACAAGTATGAAAAGTGCATCCAATTCGGTGCAGTACTTTTTGCAAGATACTTGAATTAACATACAGATAGAACAAATGCCTAAAAAATATTGTTTTGGCATATGTTGGCTTTGTTAAGAACCCTCATATCATTTTTTTTTTTTAATATCTCCCAAGTACAGAAGTCGTCCAGATACTATTATATATTACTAGATATTATATTACTAGCGGCCCGCCCCGGCTTCGCACGGGTGGACATTTTTACATTTTAAAAAGTGGCCATTAAGCCTGCACACGCGACGGAAGCTTAAAAATGGAGTAACTTCGCCCGTTTTCCCAACATTTCCCTTCACTGCTCTGCTCCTATTGATCGTAACGTGATAAGAAGTACTATACTATAACCTGCCCAGGAGTATGAAGAATAATTGTACCAAGTTTCGTTAAAATCCGTAGTAGAGTAGTTTTTGTTTCTATAACGAACATACAGACAGACAGACAAAAATTTTACTGATTTCATTTTTGGCATCAGTATCGATCATTAATCACCCCCTAATAGTTATTTTGAAAATATATTTCATGTACAAAATTGACCTCTCTACAGATTTATTATAAGTATAGATTAAAATAAGATGTAATCATATTATATAGAAGACATACCTGGAAGATAGTCTTTTCGCGTTCAAACGCTTCGGCAGAGTCTACCTCTCTAACGATACTATCCATAGTTTTGTCAACGTGGTCCATCCATCGCTCCATTTCCTTGAACTTCTCTCTATAGGCATCCCATTTGGCTGGTATTCTCTGCAACTGTTGCCTGAAGTTCTCAACTCTTCGGACTGTACTCTCCCACTGTTGTTCGCACTTCCTAAGCTCTTCTTCTAAGGCCGTATCTCCTGTTTGATGGGTGTAGCTTGTCGCGATTTTATTAAGATTTTGAAGACAATGCTCCACTTGCATGACCTTGCCTTGGTTGCGGAAGTATTCTTCGTTTCTGATCAGGATTCCGTCGGCGTCATCGCTTTGATTGTATGCCTGATAGTGAAAGGATTAAAGTTTATTACATAATTCGAATAAGAGAAAGACAGAAAATGAAATAATTTTCTTTATGCACATCAGAAGCTTAGCTCACGGCTCAACTGATGTTGGTAGTCATCGCCTATAAACATAGATAGTACCATGGACATCTCAGAATATACTGTAACGCCAGTGGTATTTTATGCGATGCCTTTCCTGGCGACAATGGTCTTAAACCTCCGTATTCTGTAATTACTGGAATGAGCTCCCTGCCGAGGTTTTCCTAAGAGACTATAGCATGGGGTTCTTCAAAAGGGGGGTAAAAAGGTTTCTTCAGGGTCGGCAACGCACGCGTAATACCTCTGGTATTGCAGGTGTTCATAGGCTACGGTAACCACTTACCATTAGATGAGCCGTATGCTTGTTTGCCACCTCAGTGGTATAAAAAAAAATTACACTCTCGTTTTCCTCGCAAGTAATGACCTATGAAATCGAAACATGGTCTTACACGGTTATGCAAAAGCTTCAAGTTACTCAACGTGTCATGGAGAGGACTATGCTCGAAGTTTCCTTGCGTGATAGACTTCGAAATGAGGATATCAGCAGAAGAACCAAAGTGACCGACATTGCCCGAAGGGTAAGCAAACTGAAGTGGCAATGGGCTGATCACAGGGGGAAAGGGATTGTTGGTAATGGAGACTGAGAATCCCATTGCTAGCAATATACCCAACCAGGTCGACCTCCTCGCGGTTCCGCCTGGAAACTATCATGGTTAATTCCTGATGAATTCATCATGATGGGCTAACTGGCCTGTTTTCATTCTCATCTGTCACCCTTCACTGGTGCTCCGCCAGCGTATCCCGTTAACGCAGTTAATGGTTACCATACCATTTTCACCCAACAAAAAAAAATGGGCTGATCACATAGCTCGAAGTACCAAACACCAATAAAGAAGAAAGGTTCTTGAGTGACGATTCCGTATAGGCAAACGCAGTGTAGGATGATCGCCCGCTAGATGGAATGACGACCTCAAATGAATTGCAGGGAGTCAGCTGATACAGGTGGGTTATGAGCGATCCTTATGACCATCTATGGGAGAGATCTATATTCAACAATAAACCGATAATGACTGATACGACAATCCCATCCTTAAAACCAAAATATACCTATGCAAGTCAACTGTTTCACGTTAGAAGCATGATATTGCTTTTATTATTTTTAAAGAAGTTATGTTTTAAGTTACCTGTTCTTCATAAACTATCTCTTTCTCAATGTCCTTAATACAGTGGTGGAAGACAGCCTCGTCAAGCCGGAATTCCAGCCTCATGAGGTGCGGCGGTGCACGGTCGAGGAGTTCTCTCCAGCGGCGCTGAAGTTCTTCGACTGTCTGCACTACACGGGAACGATCTTCTTCATTCACCAACTGTTAGGAAGTAATAAGTCAGCCTCGATCTAGCTTAATTTAATCTACCTTAATTTAATGGAGACATAATAAATGTACCTAATTATTTTTAAAACTGTATTCTTCTAGGTTGTGCCCAGTTTTTCTTAGTTGCCACAGGATATTCTAATTTGAATAATTGGCAATTACTGTGGTAATATTATAATTACTAGTTGGGTCCTGCGACTTTGTCCACGTGAATAAGTAAATAAAGTATCTTATATGTTAAGGTTGTCCCTCTTAAAACATCTACAAAACCTAACTGCGGTTGCCAAACCGCCTGCTTAGCGTGGCAACTACTGGCAAAATCTCTCTTTATGGGGGACGCCAATCTTCAACAATGGACTGTAAACGGTTGATATGATGATATATTAAAATAGGATATAATCTACCCGTGTACCAAATTACATTCAAATAAGTTCAGTAGTTTAAGCGTGATTTAGTATCAAACATCCAAACATCTTTACAAGTTTACCTATTTATAATATTAATAAGATTTATAAGTACTATTTTTCATACATTTACTAGTTATTAATACACAAATAAATTTTTACCTCAATGAGCTCTCGTCCAGACCGGACCAACTCGGACACTGCCCTCTCATCAGCGCCTTGGAAGAATCTCTTATGGAAGTCCACCGCCTGCTTCGAGTCCACACGATTGTCAGCGAGTAGAGACTCGGCCCGCGAGGCCCACTCTTCAACGGAACGCTTCTTGGTTTCGAAGTCATCCCATGCTCGTACTAAACGCTGCAGGTCGGCTTCTCGGCGAGTGGCCTCGGATGACACATGGGCAAATCTGGTGTACATACAAAATTAAATACTAAATCCGTCCTATTATTAAGAATGAAATGAGCATACAAAAAATTTTATGCTATTTCAGAAATAGATAAATAAACGATCTTAAATCTTAGGAGAGATTCTTAAGGGAAGTCTTAAGAGATTTTGTCTCACTCTGCGTGTTCTACCGCTAGTACAACGGATTATGCTCAGAGGAATTGTTCAATATGACGCCATCGACAGGAAGTTCACCCTCATACCCTACAGCCTAACCTGTGTACAACGCGGTTTCCGAGATGTTTATCCCCGCGAACACTCATGTTATGGAATGAGCTCCCTTCTGAGGTTGCCCTAAGAGATTACAATATGGGATTCTTCAAAAGAGGGGTAAAGAGATTTCTTCAGGGTCGGCAACGCGCGCTTAATATCTCTAATATTATAGGCGTTCATAGGCTACGGTAACCGCTTACCGCCAAGTGAGTCGTATGCTTGTTTGCCATCTCAGTGGTATAAAAAAATATATATATTTGGCTCAAGTTATACTCGTATTTAATCAGTTATGTAGTGAACTTTGTACAAAAGTAATTTGCTTTCTTTCGTTGGCACCTCTGTCCCATTCGTGTTTCTATAGTGAAACGGTTCTGTTTGCATGACTGTGTTTCTGTTAAAGAGTGGAATATAGTAGTGAATTTACAGGATACAGAAGAATAACACCTGAGTCCTCAGGAATGGCAACTCATGGGTGGTATCATGGGCGAAACAGTACAATCTGTTATGTCCATGGTACTGCTCATGTCTATAGGCGACGGTTACCACTTTCCATCAGGTGGGCCGTCAGCTTGTTTGCCATTCTAAATTGCATAAAAAAAGAAAACAAATTTACATATTTCGTACAGCGATAAAAAGTTTTGTGTTTTGTTTATGTAGCTCGAGCAATCTCAACTCACCTCTCATTCAGGTCCCTCATGAGGCGAACCTGATCGGTGACGTCAGCGCTGCGGTCGGTGTCAGCCGCTTTCACGATGTTCTGGAACACTTTGTTTTTGCTCTCCAACATGGAGCGGTAGTACGTGGTCCTCGAGAAGAACGTACGATGCATCTCATAGCGCTCCTCTATTACTTCACTGTAGCAGACAACAAGTCAAACTTTACAACAGATTTGGTCCAAAACATATAAGTACCAAATATTTTGATATTCAAATTCAAGTACATTTTACTTTAAACAAGAAGTTCGTGTTTCAATCGTAAAGCAGTTATGTTTGTATGGCTGTGTTTCGGTTTGAAGGGTGGGATATGACGTGAATTTACTGGATACAGAGGAATAACACCTGAGTCCTTAGGAATGGCAACGCATGAGGGGTATCATGGGCGAAACAGTATACTCTGTTATGTCCATGCTGTGCTGCACAGCAGCACATGTCACTGCTCATGTCTATAGGCGACGATTACCACTTTCCATCAGGTGAACCGTCAGCTTGTTTGCCATTCTAAGTTGTATAAAAAAAAAGCCATTTTTAAACGACTTCAAAAAGAAGGAGTTATACATTTTTATTTTACGTTTGTTACTTCATAACTTCGTCATTTGTAAATGAATTGGAAATAGCTTTTTTTATCTAAAAGACAAAACTTACAGATTGGTCCTTAGGAAGCCACTTAAGTTCGTGTTTCTGCCGTGAAGCAGTTTTGTCTGCATGGCTGTGTTTCGGTTTGAAGAATGGGTTATTGCTATTAAATTATAGGTTAAAGAGGCATAATACCTTAGTATGAATAACACAATATACTTTGACATGCCCATGAATGTCTATAGCCGACCACATTTCATCATTAGTCCATCAGAAGTTTACCATTGTGATTTGCATAAAAAAAAATCAATTAAGCTTCCAAAACTAATTTCCCTTCACTTGTCATTTTCAAATTTACTCGAGTGAATATTTAGATAAAATTGAAATATAAATTAAATAAGTTGCAAATGTATTTTACAGAACAACATCACTGGTCGGCAACGCGCACGTAACACTCCTGATGTTGCAAGCGTTCATAGGCTACAGTAATCGTTTACCATCAGACGAGCTATATGCTTGTTTACCACCTTTGTAGTCTAAAAAGAACACTGTAACAAATAATTTTAAATTTTATAAATATCACAGTTGCAAACTTACCGTCTGGTTTCCCCTGTGCTCCTCAATGCTTCGTCAGCTTTGTCCAACCACTGGCCGATCTCCTTCTGGCCAGTCTCTAATGACTCATGCTGCACTAGTAGCTGTCTATATTGGTGCAGCTTCACAGGAACCGTGGCCCTGACGCGGACCAGTGCTTCCTTCTGCTGCTTCAGTTTGGCCATGTTCGCTTCTACCTCATCACGGGGTAGCTCAGCGATTGCTGTTTGGAAGGTCCTATAACAATTAAAATTAAATAAACATCCATGTAAGTTGCACTTTTTAATTCTTCTTGAAAAGGATAGGCAAAGGAAACAAAAGCCATACAGCCTAGTCTGACATCAAAATTTTTTTGTAGATATTAAAATCTTTACTTATATTATATATATATAACACTTATGAAGTACAAAAGGAGGTCTTATTGCTATAGCAATCTCTTTTAAACAACCCTTGATTTGGATGTCAACTAATCTAAGATTATCACAACTGTTGATTAACTAAATAATTTATTTGTCCGTTTCTTTTAAACGTGTGGGTTTCAAAAATAGAAAACCCAATTAATTAGGTGGTCTATTTCTATTCTAGAGGGCGTATTAAGATAAAACTATCCAATTTTTAAATTAATCCCCTAGGAATAAATACAACGGTGAAAATAGTCAATATTTAATTTGGTACAGTCATTTTTGAGTGGTACTAGAACATAAGAGTACATACAGGAAGATAGACAATTTCTAAAAAAAATATTGTTTTGGGTGTCTATTAGTATTATTAAAAACCCCTCATATAATTTTTCTTTGTATCTCTGAAGAACATAGTTATGAATACATAATTTGATCTGGCCTCTTTACTGTACCTTTTGAATTAGGTTACTACACGAATTGCTAGGTAACACTTTATTTTTTTTTTCAAAATCTATACTTATAATAAATCAGTAGAGAGGTCAATTCTGTACATGAAATATATTTCCAAAATAACTATCACGGGGTGATTAGTGATCGATACTGATGCCAAAAATGCAGTCAGTAAAATTTTTGTCTGTCTATCTCTATGTTCGTTATAGAAACAAAAACTACTCGACGGATTTTAACGAAACTTGGTACAATTATTCTTCATACTCCTGGGCAGGTTATAGTATACTTATCATCACGCTACGATCAATAGGAGCAGAGCAGTGAAGGGAAATGTTGAGAAAACGGGAAAAGTTACTCCATTTTTAAGCTTCCGTCGCGTGTGCAGCCTTAATGGCCACTTTTTTAAATGTAAATATGTCCACCCGTGCGACGCCGGGACGGATCGCTAGTACAAAATTTATTTTGTCAATTATTCGATTCCCCTACACATACATATGTCTAGTTTTTGTTATATTTGTAAGTATATCAACATACATAAGAAAATAGAATAGAAAATAATTAATGAAAGACAAACCTGCTAATAGTCTTGAATAACTCTTCGTGATGCTCAATCTCAGAATTGAGTTGCAAAAGTTGATCGATGTACGTCTGTATGTCCGTTGTGTTGGCGCGAGGTTGACGTGACAGCAGTGCGTCGGCTGCCGTCAACCAGCTGTCCAGTTGTTGAATCCCTGACGCGAGTTCCCGACGGTGGCGGAGAGCGTCACCGCCACGGACGTAGCTTTAAAATAATGGAAAACAATTACTTCCAATCTATAAATATAATACAGTCTAGTAAATTCTTTAAAAAATCTCTTTAAATGTAATATAATGAAGCCTGGGCATTTTTTTTTATGTGGATTGGTAGCCTCGCTTGCGCTATCGGTATTCGTTAGCAGGGCATCAGTGAGGAATGATAAGTGACAGATTAAAGCAAGGGGAGACTTTGTACAAAAGTCGATTGCTTGGGTACCTCTGTCCCATTCGTGTTTCAACCGTGAAGCAGCTGTGTTTGCATGGCTGTGTTTCGGTTTGAAGGGTGGGATATAGCGTGGATTTACTGGGTACAGAGGAATAACACCTGAGTCCTCAGTAATGGCAACGCATGGGGGGTATCATGGGCGAAACAGTATGCTCTGTTATGTCCATGGTACTGCTCATGTCTATAGGCGACTGTTACTACTTTATATCAGGTGGGCCGTCAGCTTGTTTGCCATTCTAAGTTGTATAAAAAAAAAGGTCAGTTAGGCCATCGTTACAAATTCAAGGATTAACCACGACGGTTTCTGTGGGAAACTATCTGAAGGTCGAACTGACTGAGTAAAGGTTAGTAATGAGGCTATTAGATCCCATTACTAACAATCCATTTCCCCCTGTGAACACTGTTGTACACTTTTTTTTTTTTTTTTTTTTTTTTTTTTTTTTTTTTTTTTTTTTTTTTATACAACTTAGAATGGCAAACAAGCTGACGGCCCACCTGATGGAAAGTGGTAACCGTCGCCTATAGACATGAGCAGTACCATGGACATAACAGAGTATACTGTTTCGCCCATGATACCCCCCATGCGCTGCCATTCCTGAGGACTCAGGTGTTATTCCTCTGTACCCAGTAAATTCACGCCATATCCCACTCTTCAAACCGAAACACAGCCATGCAAACACAACTGCTTCACGGTTGAAACACGAATGGGACAGAGGTACCCAAGCAATCGACTTTTGTACAAAGTCTCCCTCTGGTAACATTATGTAAGACACATTTGTGTTATTAAATTTGACATATTTACACAAATGGTTTTACACTAATAGATAAGGAATAGAACTAAATAGAATCATGTGGTAAAAATATAAAACTTACCGTTCAGCTTCTTCCCAAACACGTTCCCAGCGTTCAGTTATTTCCACATACTTTCTCTTCACTTCCGAGCTTATTTCTTCACTGCTAGTTGCAGCCAAGAATCCAGCGGCATCTCCAAGTAGCTGGTGCCTCTCTTTCCATACTGTCAAATCTTGGAAGAATTCTAGTCTCTCATCTTCAGACACTCTTAACATGTGCTGCGCTTTGTCAAGCCAAGTCGTAAAATCATCAGATAAAGTGTTCCATCTTTCCCAATGTGCAATAACCTCTTCAAGCACACTTCGAGCACACCGCACATCTGAAGCAACTCTTCTCCACATATCAGACACATCCTTCAAAAATATATCAATTTCTCTTGCTTCAGATTTATCTACTTCACACACTCTCTTATATTCCTCTGCTACTTGCTTTATATCAACATAAGCTCTATCAAACTCTTGGAAAATCTTATTTTTAGTAACAAAATTGTCATAATCATCTAATAAGGCACGAACATGATCAATTCGACCGTATTTACCGGTCCACGCGGCTAACTTAGCCTTAGTCAATTCTGTAAATGCTACGATACAACATTTGTGCTCCAAGTATTTCAGTCTGGCTTTCCTCTGTGGTGCTCTTCGACTTACAGTCTCGAGCCGTTCCTTCATATCTTGGAGTCTCCCCGAGGGGATCTTAGCGGCATCTGGCGATCTTAACGCCGCCTCAAATCTGTCTATGACTTCTGGGAGATTCGAGAAAAAGGAAGTGTGTTCCTCCAACTTTTCGCTGATGATGGCGGCAGTTCTTTCGTCCAAACTTGTTGGAATTTCGTCGAAATATAGCAGATATTCCGCTTTTGCCAACCACTCACCAACGGTTCTGAAGTCTCCCGGCAGATCTGAGTCCAAGAGCCAGAGCCACTTTCTGTGCAGTCTCTCTAATTCGATCCAAAGTGAGACAAGCTCGCGCCAAGATTTTGGTGCTATGGCCACTAAACTTTGTGTGTACATAAGTTTTTCGAGTTTTTGATAGACTGGTTCATGAGCAAGCCTCTCGTTTTCGGCGCGGACGTAGTCCTCGTAGCTTCGCGAGAGAGTTCGCGAGTCGTATTGCCTTTGAACTGTGGTGACACGTTCTGTCAGCCACATTCTAAGAGATTCGTACTCCTCTTGTACTGCTGCTACGGCATCAGGTCCTGTTGTCTGTAAAAGAGAAAGATATTCAGTCATACTGATATTTAAAATAAACTGATATTCCTTCTTTAAACTTTAAAATACAGTAATAGTTATAATTAGGGAGATGAACTTATCACTAAGAATTTTTTTTCCAGTTAAAATAATGGCATAAGAAACAGGAACTTACCTTGGGTTCAGGATATTTATGCAAGAACTGAGCTACGTATGTCATAATGGATCTCTCATCTGGCTTCTCCACATCCACATCTTCAGCATCCAACAACCTGGCAATACCCAACTCGGATTCTGCCACATCGAAGGCGTGCTCCAATCGTTGCCTGTTTGTTTTTCTCTTCATCTCAGCCAGATTGATTAGATTGGCTTTGATAGCGTCGATGATTGCAAGGAAGGCTATGCCATCCCTCCACGATGGGCCGAAGTCTGTTACTTGGATATTGGAGTTCCTGATTGAAAAATATAACGTTAAATTCAAGCTCAGAAATAACAGATTACAGAAGGACTTTCACTTTACGCATAACTACCAGACCAGAGGGAGACTTTGTACAAAAGTTGTTTGCTTGGGTACCTCTGTCCGATACGTGTTTCAACCGTGAAGCAGTTGTATGTGCGTTTCGGTTTGAAGGGTGAGATATGGCAGTGAAAATCTCCTTCTTTCTGAAGTCGATTCTCAATTCGGTTGTCTTTTTTTTCGTTTTTTACCCTATAACTCCGTCAGTTCTAAATTGATTTAGAAAATTATTTTTTATGTGAAAGGATGTACTTACAGATTAGTGCCATAGAAATTGTATCAAAATCGGTTCAGTAATTTAATTTTTAGATCAAAGGTTTTGTTACAATTAAAATCAGTTTTTTTTTTGTGGGATCACATCTTTAATTATTGTATTCTATGTCACATAAAAAATGTAGATTTATTAATAGTTCCTTGCTTTTTAATAAACATGACTTACTTGGGCAAAGCGTTTGCAACCCATTGGAGCAAGGTCTTCTTGGCGCCTTGCTTCCACCGGTCTTCTGCTCTCTGTGTGGGAGTGGCGGCCCCTGACTCTTGGGACATGACTGAGGCGCATCTCGACCCGCCAAGGTATTCTAACGCTCGGCTGTTTTCCTCGATCTGATAACAAGGCAGTATTTAGTAAAATATAAAATTTATATACATATAACAAAAATGTAACCACACATAGTGTACTCTCCAGTTCTACTCATAACCAATTATACTAAATTGGATATGGTTTTTAAAGTTGTATTCTTAGATACCAACCTCTCTGAAATGCCATCCAAAAGTAATCATGCCACATGTCATTGGTTTTTTTACTTCCAAAATGAACTTTTTTTACATTTTAGATTTTTTTTTATAACAATAATAATAGTACTTTAAACAATACCTTTATTGCATAACTTTTTTTACTTCTAAAATCCACTTTTTTATATTTTATAAATTTCTTTATATTTTAGAAACAATAATAATAATAACTTTATTGCATAACCATGATTGTAACGAACTCAGCACTGGAAATTACAGTAAAACTACGACTTCATTTGTACATTTGGATCACCTTAAACATCTGTGTCTGAACTAGGTTATTTATTTATTTATAAAACCTGTATCTCAGATAACAGCGCTCAACCCTCATTATACACTGTAATATTAGCTCAGTGAAATTTTTAGCGCTATATTTAAGAAATATATGCTTAAATTACTCTCACAGGACATTGAGACTCTTACTTGACAACATTTTATTTATTTTTATACTTTTATTTATACTCTATTGTACACACTATTACGTATTATGTTTAAAAAGGCAATCATCATCATCATATCAACCTTATCACCCTTAAATTCTATATTAAATTTCATTTCATTACTATATATATAATATAATAAAATATATAATTATTTTATTATATTATATACATAATTATATATATAAGTTAACTGTACACTGCTGAACATAGGCCTCTGCCAATTGAGAGATTTAGCCAGTATTTGCCAAGCTTGGCAGCAGGATTGGCAGTCGCAGTTGGGCTTTGGTGATGTTTAAAGACGAATGCTGGTGCCCATATCCCTTGAACATTAAGTTCCCTTAGTCGCCTCTTATAACACCTACGGGAAAGGAAGGGGTGGCCTATTCTATGCTGGGCCTTAAGTGAATTAAAAAAAAATTATAAATGACAAATAGGTAAGTAGACAAGATTAAAAAATATGGTAAAAACTGATCGTAGTTTTCGCGTTACTAATGAAAAATATTAGTTACGTCAACCAATAGCAGTTATGAAAACATAGTGCTTACAGATATTAATAAGAAAGCGTAGATAAAGAATGCTAGAACTATATTTAATCTACATAATGATGTAATAGTACCATACATTAATATTTATATAATACCACATAGTACTCAGGGAATTTAAAATTCGAATACCTAATAAAAAAAAAAGAACAGTGTTCTAGAACAATTTTTTTTTTTTAAAACAACCCACTAACCAGTTCAATATTTCACAGTCAATATCAAACTTATGGGGGGAAAGGGATTGTTAGTAATGGAGACTGAGAATCCCATTGCTAGCAATATACCCAACCAGGTCGACCTCCTCGCGGTTCCCCCTGGAAACTATCATGGTTAAATTTCTGATGAATTCATCATGATGAGCTAACTGGCCTGTTTTCATTCTCATCTATCACCCTTCACTGGTGCTCCGCCAGCGTATCCTGTTAGGGCAGGCGGGATTACCATTCCATTTTCATCCATAAAAAAAAAATCAAACTTATTATTTTTTCTAAATCTTTATATTTTATATAGCTAACAGCAGCCACTGATGAAGCAACTGACGAATTACTCGTTAAAATAAACTAAGAATAATATATAATAAATAATACATAGGCTAATAAGTAAATATTACACTAAATAAGTACTCTGGCATGTATATAGCTAGAACTGCATCAATTGTAGACTAAAATAAACTCTAAGAACAGGAGTTACTGTTGATAATCTAAAAGCCGTGAAGCGTTTTACCCACCTTTGGTCCTCTATCCTGTGGGTCCAATATATTGAGAGAAGCTTGCGCAAACAAAATTAGTTCAAGCCAATTAAAATGAGAATAGACCGACTTTATTTATTAAAATAAGGGGGAAAAATGTAGATTTGTTTTAAATAAAATTGATATTTATTGAGATGGAATAAAGCTCCTTATGACAAAGCTTGTGTTTGATTTAATTTTAAAAGTTACAATAATATGCTCATAAATAGAACCATATTCTGAATAATTATGCATTGTGTCTCTCAAAAACTCGATTGCAACAAAACTAGTTAATTTGATCTAAAAGCTAAACTCCTGAACTGTTTTTGTACAGATGTGATTTCTTTTATTAAATACAATAAAAATAAAATAAACGATTATTTCAATACAGTTAAGTTGATTTTCGTTATTTGTAAAATGGGACTTCGTACAATTGATTTTAATTGCCTATTCTACAGTAGAATCTAGAACAAACAAAGAAATGATTTTCTTATTGCTTACTCATGAGAATTAGAAATGAATCAAACTTAATTCCAACTCAATAAATATTTTCACCAAGAAAATAGATTGATACAATTGTGTGTCCTCATTTAAATGGGCATATCAGTGCATCTAACTAACAAAAAGATCTCTTTGCTCCAATTAAAATACGTGTCACAAAACTAGTGCAAATTTTGATCAAGATCGTTTTGTTATCTTTTGCAAAATTAAACAATTATAGACTTTAATATGTAAATCATATGATAGTTAATGATAAAGCCAATAATATTAAACTTGTTCTGCTATTGGCTGCCAATTTCATATTGATAACACTTGCAATAAAAATGTTATATAAGTTAAAATGATTATGTGAAGAGACAAAGAGGCGATAAGAAATATGAAACGAATTCAAAATGTCTCTATTTATTATGAGATTGTTTTTAAACAATCCGGTTTCATCATTATACCTATAATAAAGTCTGTGATACAACTTGTCAGGAATGTTAAGGATGTATACATCTATAATCTACCTACTCGTTACCTAAGTGTTTATTATTAAACTAATGTAATACTTATGTTTATACACACCAGTGCTTTTAAAATAAATATCAATAAGAATTCAGAGAGTAACCGTTATGTTTGCATATACTGTAGTAAACATGAGAGTGAAATTTAACAATTCATTTATTTTAAACTTTATGACGAAAAACTTGCAGCTAACTGTAAGGAATTAAACAATTGTAATTGTAATAATAATAATGATATACAAAATTTCATTGATCGAGGCTGTTGATTTTGCTTCAAAGTTTTGTATCCCACAAAAGTCCATAATAATTACAAAATATTTCAAAATGTTGCCTTATTTAAATTTACTGCGGTAGGGGCAAACCTACCAATGTTCAAGTATTTTTTTTTAGATTTATTAATTGCTAATTAGCAACCTGCCCCGGTCTCGCATGGGTTCTTTACAGAAAATATAAAGTAGCCTATGTTAATCAGAAGAGATGTAGCTTTCGGTAAAATCGGTTGAGTAATTTTTGAGTTAAATTGTAACAAACAAAAAACCAATCATCTTTCCTCGTTATACAGAATATGAACTTACATGATACACAAATATCATAGTCAAAGATTTAGCAGAAAATTTTAATTCAATTAATTTCAAACCCGTTCTGGGATCTTTGCATTATTTCCTTGACTTTAATAGCAATTTATTTACAAAAATAAATTTAGAAGTAGTAATTCATAGGACATATTTAAGATGATAAATCAATGAAACATTCACGGCCACTCTCTGTCAGCAGGATCAAGTAGAACACGGTTCATCTTACCTGGAAATAGAGGATGATGGTCCAAATGAGGCCGAGGACGACGGCGGGCCGGCCGTCGACAAGGTCGGCAGCGTTGATGTTCACCAGCTTGATCCGTTTACCGGCGAGGAAGCGGAGTGCTGTGTTGGCATTGGAGAGGAAGTGTGGACGGCGGAGAACACGCCCGCGCTCCATGGGCTGCACGAAGAAATTTGAACGTTACCCATTTCATAATAAAGTCTAACAAACTAAAACTACATAGATAGATTAATAATCTTTATTACCAGTAATAATATTTAAAAAATCAACAATAAAAAGTAAAAAACAATTCATTTTGCTGGTTGCTGAAGCCGCCTCAGATGTTGCTATATACGAGGTCTGTCCGGAAAGTTCGTATAAAAGTGTTCTGGAATGCGAGAAAGAGGAGTGGGGAGGCCAGGTAAGCGCAGGACCCCTTCCTTATGTCCCTAACAATGCTTCAGTTCTGGTCTGACCGCCGTGCGGTGCGAACTGGCTTGTCACGCCATCTGTGAAGTTACCTCTTAACGAAACCCCGTCGGCATGGAGCCCGCTTCCGTTGAAGAGCAGCGCGTCGTAATCAAGTTTCTCTCGAAACTCGGCAAGAATGGCCGTGAAATTTTTGCCGATCTCAGAACAGTAAAATCCCAAAGCAAAGAGTGGAAGACATCCGGGGAACCACGAACAAAAAATCAAGAAAATCCCGCTCAAATGTCAAGACAATGTTGATTGTTTTTTTCGATGTTCGGGGGATTGTCCATCAAGAATTCGTCCCTCCAGGCCAGACAGTTGATGGAAAATTCTACGTCGATGTGCTCAGACGCCTCAAAGCTCGTGTGGCACGAGTTAGTCCAGAATTGGCGCGAGAGGGGCGTTGGATTCTTCACCACGACAATGCCCCTGCCCACACCTCTCTTGTTGTCCGTGAGTTTTTGAGTAAAAATTCCATTACGGTGACCGAACACCCCCCTATTCGCCGGATTTGGCCCCGTGTGACTTCTTCTTGTTCCCAAAAACCAAATTGGTACTTCGGGGGCGGCATTTGGGGGACATAAATGAGATAAAAAAAGCTACGACGGGGCAGCTGAGAAACCTACAACCAGAGGACTTTCAAGGAGCCTTCTCACAGTGGAAACGGCGTTGGCACAAGTGCATTATGTCACAGGGGGAGTACTTTGAAGGGGATAAAATTGATTTACCTGAATAATTGTAAAATAAAATTTTTAAAAAACTTTTATACGTACTTTCCGGACAAACCTCGTATGCACACCTTCAGCGAGATGTACCTATATAGCATTGATTTTCAGGCGGCCCCTTAACTCCTAACCATAACTATTATATATTATATAACCTTTAACTATTACTTAATTACATTTCTAAGTGACTTCTAACTTGAATTAGTGCGGAAAAGAGAGTCCAATTTCCAAAATTAGGAGACTATAAATTGGTCTGTTTCTTATTGTGGCTATATTACTGGGTACATCGCCAAGCACCAAATTAAAACCGATTATAATAAACGCTTTACTATAGGGTTTGTCTCCATATCCCATATTATTTCTATAACGATTAATACCGATCAACTCAACTGTGCCAGGAGATCCTGCAGAAATATGAAAAGTTGCCAATACAGGCGACTTTACACAAAAAATCGCTTTACCGATGTACTAATGTAATAAAATAAAGTCTGGTGTAGTATAAACATATTTCAATTACTAATTAATTTAAATTTTATTCCAGTTAATACTGGTACGTAGTAAGCATGGATTGAGTGTTAGAAAAGAATTGTATTTTGCGAACTTTAAACAAAAGTAGAAATAATATTACTTTAATATTCTTTCTATAGGCGACGGTTACCACTTTCCATCAGGTGGGCGGTCAGCTTGTTTGCCATTTTAAGTTGCATAAAAAAAATCTTCAGGAATAATTATACACATTAAATTATAAATGCATTCTGTGATATCCATGGTGCTTTTCATCTCTATAGCAGACGGTTACCACTTTCCATCAGACGGGTCATTAGCTTGTTTGCCATTCTATGAATCATTTAAACTATGGGCATTCATAATGTATTGGTGTCTGTAAACGCAAATTCAACCACTTAACCAGAGGGAGACTTTGTACAAAAATCGATTGCTTGGGTACCTCTATCCCGTGTGTTTCAACCGTGAAGCAGTTGTGTTTGCATGGCTGTGTTTCGGTTTGAAGGGTGGGATATGGCGTCAAATTACTGGGTACAGAGGAATAACACCTGAGTCCTCAGGAATGGCAACGCATGGGGGGTATCATGGGCGAAACAGTACACTCTATTATGTCCATAGTACTACTCATGTCTATAGGCGACGGTTACCACTTTCCATCAGGTTGGCCGTCAGCTTGTTTACCATTATAAGTTGTATAAAAAAAAATTCAAGTTCAAACTATCTTTATTCAAACAGACTTATTTACAAGAACTTTTAAATCGTATTTTTTTATGAATCCACTGCAGTGTTGCAGATATACTGCAGACACTTGTTATCTACTGGTTGTCACTTTCTATCAGATAGGCTCTTAGTTTCTTTGTTATTTTGAATAAAAGAAGACAGAAAGAAGACTTACCAATTTTTCACCCGAAAGCACTTCAAGCAGTGCCAGCAGTTTTGTGCCATCACGTAGGTCATATATAAGGTCGTCGATGCGCAGTGGCGGTATGCGCTGAAATTAAACACCAATGCACGTAAAGTTGGGGGGGGAAAGGGATTGTTAGCAATGGAGTTTAACAGCCCCATTGTTAGCAATATGCCCTATTAGGTCGACCTCCACGTGGTTCCCCCTGGAAACCATCGTGAACAATTCTTGTTGAATTCGTCACGATGGGCTAACTGACCTGCTTCATCCTCATCTATCATCCTTCACTGGTGCCCCGCCGGTGTATACCGATAGCGCGGGTGGGGTTACCATTCCATTTTCATCCATGAAAAAAAAATGCACGTAAAGTATACCATCGTATCCTTAAACATACGAACGAAACATAAAAACGTTGTTTTAAACCTGTATTTCGATTTTAAGGGTGCGATATGACTGTGAATTTACTGGGTACAGAGGAATAACATCTGAGTCCTCAGGAATGGCAAACGGGGAGGTATTATGAGCGAAACAGTATAGTCTGTTATGTCTATGGTATTGCTCATGTCTATAGGCGACGGTTTCCATCAGGTGGGTTCTGAACTTGTATGCCATTCTAAGTTGCATAAAAAAACTTTCATAGAAATAGGTAACGATTTAATATATTTAATTAATATAAAACTAGAGGGGATGGGATCTCATTGCTAACAACATGTTCTTAAATTAACCAAGCGGCCTCCCATGGAAACCATCGTGGTTAATACTTTGTGAATTCGTCATGATGGATCAACTGATCTAATTTCATTCTCACCAATCATCAGTCACTGGTGCCCCACCAGCGTAAACCCATAACAAAGGCGGGGTAAATATCAATAATTTAAAAAATATATATAATTAAACTTATGAAATGTTATATTTCTTTGGGAAAAGTTATCAAGCTTTTTATGTCAGCCATAGCTTAAATCATTGTAAGCCATGTACTCGTATGATTTAAATCTAGGATCTACCATAAAATAAAATTCCGACTTTTTGGACTCAACACCTACAACAAAAAAAAACCAAAAGAACAATATTTTAATATTTTTAAACGATATGTATTATGTAATTTTAACATAAAATTTGTGTTTCATTCGTCATCGAAATTTTGGAAAACATTTCATAGTTAGACCCTTTGGTCTCTGTTGTTTGTCGAAGAGAATTCTAGAAACGATCGTATGTTCTTACACGTAGGTATGTGTACATTTATTGAACGAATGAATGAACTTATTGTATAGAATCAAATATATGTTTAAAATTAATTTCCATTTATGTATCACAAATAAATTATTAATGAATCGATTGAAATTTACCTTCGACAGATGCGAGTTGATCCAATTGACAAATGTTTTCTTCTGAACTCTTTCCTGTTCATCTGTAACAAATGAAACAAAATGTTTAATGTTAAATTATCAATTAATTATAATTTATTTATATTTAGAATATTAAATTAAAATTGTTGTATTTTATCAATTTTATTTTTATACTTCTATGGTGGCAAATAAGCATACGACCCGTTTGATGGTAGACGAGGTTACCGTAGCTTATGGACGTCTATAACACCAGGGATATCACGTTAGAATGGTAAACAAGCTGACGGCCCTCCTGATGGAAAGTGGTAACTGTCGCCTATAGACATGAGCAGTACCATGGATATAACAAAGTATACTGTTTCGCCCATGATACCCCCCACGCGTTGCCATTCCTGAGGACTCAGGTGTTATTCCTCTGTACCCAGTAAATTCACGCCATATCCCACCCTTCAAACCGAAACACAGCCATGCAAACACAGCTGGAACAGAGATGCCTTAGCAAACAACGTTTGTACAAAGTCTCCCTCTGGTATATACTCATATTTGGCAATACTAATTCTGTAGATATGTAGGTAATAACAAAATAAACTACATTTGAAATCACAGTTATAATTGTATGATATTATTCATTTGTATGATTGTTATTTGATGATATTTTAAGCTTATGATCTCGATGCCGGATTTGTAATCGTACGCGATGTGAATGACTCGATTTAATTTCGTAATCGAGTTGCCAAGTTCACTGCGCCAATAACACTGGCACGTCGATCGGAAATAGTCGGATGCGAACAGATATGATTTGTTTCTATTTACGTCCAACGAGATCGTATATTTGCATAATTTATAATTGTGTATGTTATTGGCAACACGAGTTGCCAAATTATAATGTGCAATGTTCAAAGAGTAGCGGTTAATATTCATGTCCACCATTTATTTATAAATTTGTAATTTAATTAGTAAGGCACATTTGATATAAAGTTTTAAGTTAAAGTGCGATCCTAGCATAGAATAAGAGATACCTTCTTTTCCTATCACAGAGTCAGCCGCTTAAGATTAAAGGTCGCTAATAGTGCTGAAACTAGTCGAGCATTCTCGATCTAATTACACGTAAGTTTAACTTAACTACTTAACCGATTTTAATAAAATTTCTATGATATCAATCTGTAAGTATAGATAAAAAAATAAAAGAAATTTTCCAAAACGGTTTAAAACTAACGGAGTTATATAAAAACAAATATAAAAAAAAGATATAAATCCGAATTGTGAACTTTCTTCTCTTTAAAGTCACTTGACAAACTAGTTATTGAAGTCGCTGGCGGAAAACCCAAAAAAAAAAAACCAATTTTATAAATATAATTAAATTTAATTCTAAAATTAATTATTACAGTAATATATATCTTCAGATCGATGTGTGATCCGTAAGTGAAGTCATATCGAATCAAACATAAAGGAAATGGGTATTTTTGCTGCGGGAATTGAAATGCTGACTCGAAGCAGGTGTCTTCCTCGGTAGCGCACCTTCTTGCGTCATGCTAGGTGGTCCGATCCGATCGCCGTTGAGGGTGTGTCGTTATACTTGATAGGTATCTACTATAACAAGCTCAAGGGTCAACAATACTGCAATATATATGAAAAATAACGTAAAAATTAAAATTATCTAGTTTAAACAAAAAATAAAAGGTCACACCAGACAATGCAACATCCGCGAGTGTAACCATTGCAAAAATAAACACATTAATACCCATAATAGCTTCAAAAATGTATAATAAAAACTGATAAAATCTAACAATACCACAATACGAGTACAATGAGGTCACGTCGCGTCAGGACCTTGGTCGGACGGTCTGACACATTTTATCTGCCCGCTGACTATTGAAATGTCATTAATCGATTAATGGCTCGATACATAATTCATGACTCTTACCGATTAATACAGTTTACATACAGTTTAATTTGAATTTGGAAAACAATGTATTTTTTTTAATGGGTGATAATGGAATGGTAACCCCGCCTGCGCTATCGGTATATGCTGGCGGAGCACCAGTGAAGGATGATATGTGAGGATGAAGCAGGTCAGTTAGCCTGACATGACGAATTCCACAAGAATTCTTATATCTATTCTTATATCTTATATCTAATAATTAACCACGATGGTTTCCAAGGAGAACCGCATGGAGGTCGACCTGATAGAGTGTATTGCTTGCATTGCTTCCATTACTAACAATCCCTTTCCCCCAATACAATGTATTAAAAAAAATATTGACTTAACTTCTTATGTAGATAGTACATCAATTTATTTTATATTTTATTATGTAAGTAGATTTTTTTTATACAACTTAGAATGGCAAACAAGCTGACGGCCTACCTGATGGAAAGTGGTAACCGTCGCCTATACACATGAGCAGTACCATGGACATAACAGAGTATACTGTTTCGCCTATGATACCCCTCATGCGTTACTATTCCTGAGGATTATTCGTTATTCCTGAAGATTATTATATAAGTTGTGTTTGCATGGCTGTGTTTCAGTTTGAAGGGCGTATATATGGCGTGAATTTACTGGGTACAGAGGAATAACACCTGAGTCCTCAGGAATGGCAACGCATGGGGGGTATCATGGGCGAAACAGTATACTCTGTTATGTCTATGGTATTGCTCATGTCTATAGGCGGTTACCACTTTCCATCAGGTGGGCCGTCAGCTTGTTTACCATTCTAAATTGTATAAAAAAAATAATAATAAAAAAAATCACTAGTGCACTTCGTAAAAAAAAGGGGCGGCCCATTCTAAGCCGGGGCCATACGATAAATTTGTATTATACTGTTTCATTTTGTATTAAAAAATTTATTTAATTTTTACAGGAATTAAAAATAAAAAAGCATTACAGGTTTTTGTATTTTATGCACGAAAAATTATTATTTCACTCTTGCACCACCTGCCTAATTCTATCTGTTCTCTTTTACCAAAGGTTGTCTGTAAGAGATTGCCCTAGCGATAAGACCGCCTTTTGTACCTTTATGTATATATTTCAATCTATATTTATGTTACTGTATTTCACTTGAATTATTCACTTGTCATTGTATATTTTTATTTATGGTGCAATAAAGAGTTAAATAAGTAAAAAAGAATGTGATGAAAAAATGTTGTTTATTCATTCCATTATAAAAAAAAAATATGAGAATATTATTCAAAATTGACGAATTATTTAATTCGTCTTGAATTAAAAACATACACAGTCGAATAAATAACCTACTAACCTATTTAGGTCAGTAAACAAATTGGCAAACTGTAAAAAGTTGTTAAACAAGAAAAAACGTTGAACTAAAAAGATACCGCCTAAGATAAGGGAATGTAACCGCCATCTATTTAGAGGTATAGTGAACGGTGAAACAGCAACCGAGACCGCCGGTTTCCTGTCAATCCACCGTCACGCACGCTGCCGAGCCCCCAAACTTTATAACCGGCGTGATGACACGCGAGCGGCACCGCCTGATACGGGCAATGGCCTATCTTGGTTTAATTGAATTATACGCAGCGTAGACTGTAGACATTTTTTTTTTAATGGAATAATAACAGAAATCTATATTGTGATATGCTGACGAGGCACCAGTGCCTGGTGACAGATAAACTCAGAAGTCAGGTCAGTTAGTCCAATATTTTTTTTTATACAACTTAGAATGGCAAACAAGCTGACGGCCCACCTGATGGAAAGTGGTAACCGTCGCCTATAGACATGAGCAGTACCATAGACATAACAGAGTATACTGTTTCGCCCATGATACCCCCCATGCGTTGCCATTCCTGAGGACTCAGGTGTTCTTCCTCTGTACCCAGTAAATTCACGCCATATCCCACCCTTCAAACCGAAACACAGGCATGCAAATACAACTGCTTCACGGTTGAAACACGAATGCAACAGAGGTACCCAAGCAATCGACTTTTGTACAAAGTCTCAGCAAAATATTTACTATAAATTAACCACGATTATTATAACTATTGTTATTGCCTACTCTACCAGCTTTTTACCAGAGGGAGACTTTGTACGAAAGTCGTTTGCTTGGGCGCCTCTGTCCCATTCGTGTTTCTACCGTGAAGCAGTTGTGTTTATATTGCATAGAGACAATATGGTCTACGAATACAACCAATCACATGACCACACTTTTTTTTAATGGATGATAATGGAATGGTAACCCCGTCTGCGCTAACAGTATACGCTGGCGGGGCACCAGTGAGGGATGATAGGTGTCAATGAAATGGCAGGTCAGTTAGCCCATCGTGATGAATACACCTGGAATTCAGCGGGATGATTTCCCAGTGGGGACCATGTGGAGGTCGACCTGACAGGGTATATTGCTAGCAATGGGACTGGTAGTCCGCAATACTAACAACGGTTGGCCGCACTGTGCCGGCTCACTAAGTGTTTTTCACGCTATGTTTGAAGGATCAGAGTATACCACTTTCATTGACTAAAAGCGATCGACTTTTGTCGCTCGTGTACGTACGCCCTATGGCCTATCGAATAACAATTTATCACCGTTTGTAATTCATAAAAATGTAGTAATTACAGTACGACATTCATGTTACAGTTTGTTAGAACACATGAAATAAACTTAAAACATACGTCGATTGTATTTATTTACTTATTTATTTAACTCTTTATTGCACCATAAATAAAAATATACAATGACAAGTGAATAATTCAAGTGAAATACAATAACATAAATACACATTGAAATATATACATAAAGGTACAAAAGGCGGTCTTATCGCTAGGGCAATCTCTTACAGACAAACTTTGGTTAAAGGAGAACAAATAGAAATGGGCAGGTGGCACAAGAGTGAATTAATAATTTTTCGTGCATAAAATACAAAAACATGTAATGCATAAAAATATCAAATACATATAATTTATTAAACTACTTACTATAATATATATATATATTGTTCCTACAGTTTTGAAATTCTATACTACTAGCGGCCCGTCCCTGCTTTGCATGGGTGGACATTTTTACAACATAAAAAAGTGGTTATTGTAACATAACGATAATAGTTGGACATATAG